GAGTAGGCGGAGAAGGATTCTTTGACGCATGTACTGGCATTCTATTTATTTGTTGCTTCTTCACCCACTGGTTCACATTGTTTAATGAGTTATTTCTGTTCATGTGGCATCTGTGTGAATAAAGATGTAAAATCTAGAATTAGTTATTGATTTTTTCTCCGTAGAGATATCTTTGATTTTTCCCGGTTTCGTGGGAACTAAAGTTTGGATCCAAGAGGCGTGTTTCGTTTTTTCTGGAACTTATCAGCTTTAGCTTTTGAAGAGATGGCTGCTGAGTTCGTGTCTCAGTGGGAATAACAACACCATTAGCCAGTGAGGATGCTGGTACACCTATCTAACGAATTCCAGATGGGATGAAATGCACGTTCTGGTTACTGCTGTCATTCACTCCCGACCAAGTAACATCATGCTTAACTCAGGACATTATTGAAGCATCCTTACTAGTAACCGACATGTCAGCGGAGACTAACGATTTTGGTACAACATAGTCAATCAAAAAAAGATATCTGTAATCATGTCTATGAATGCACGCAGCGCGTTCATTCTGTATGAAAGATTCAGAGTAAAGCACAAGTCTTTAACAACACATAGCTATTTCACTCTCTTGCGAGCACTGTTCCTTAGATGACTCCACGATTAGGTATTAACTGTCTTTTCCACCCAGTACTATCTACTCCATGTACTCTTCGGACATCTAACCAATAGCTTCCTGTTCGGGTTCCACTCGATGGCCTGACGCGTGATCTCACTTAAAGATCAATTCAGAGTGTGTTCAGTCCATCTCCATTTATGTCTGCAATAGATTCTTGGTTGGTTCACCGCACTACTAGAATTCCTTGTCACTTATTCTTTCTGGAAAGACATTTGATTTTCAGTATCAAACAAAGGTGGGAGGCAGCAGTGGAAGTCTACAGTCTGTTGGAACTGCATCTAGTCTCTGAACTACACAGAATCACTGAACTGACATTAATGTTGAAAATTCAAATCTTGTTCTTTGTGCTGAGTACAGGAGATTTCCACACACTGGTCACTTAGTAATGAATGTCTTTCTTATCTTCCCAACCTTGGCTGAGTTTTGCATAATTACCGGTGCTACTTTTGTAGCCGAAACGATGCTGCTCAGCCAGGTAGGTGATATTTTCTCTATTTCTTTTCTCATCAAATCCAACTATCCGTCGTCTATACATGATTCCTGTAGAAGTCACATAACTGCAGACTACTGATAAGATTCTTGTCAGAAGAACACACATACACATACAGATCACGAAATAATTGAACATCGACAGTCAGAGATTTATACTAACTGATAGTGTATATCTGTATTTAAAATATTTATATCATTTCAAATAAAAAGTGATTAAATTCAATATCAAATTACTCATATCAATAGAAATTGAAAATATTTGAATTTATTTGGCAGACAGCCATTGAAATACAATATCATATAGAATAGATTGAATGCACGAATTATATATCAGACAAACTCTTTCTCATTTGTACATTATTTGATAATATAACTAGACAGTATAGTACACCATTAGTAAACTGCTTTACAAAAGCATTTTGTTTTACTGATATTGAGTATTCATTCAGTGGCGTGCGTTCCAGCAACATCCCTGACATCACCATCAGTACAACTTCACGTGGAAATGTACTAAGTGATAAAGTCTAAGATACTCTTATATGCATTCCACAGAACGGTTGGGCTTAGGTTCACATGCAGACATGCCACTTGAGCTCATTATGAGATTCGACTGATTATGGTATCTAGGATGATAGTGAAATGTTTACCAATCAAATCTGCAGGAGCAAAGAACAACTCTAATCGACTACTCACGAATTAAGCTGCAAAAAACTCATTGTATGTAAATGTACTGACTGACAATAACTTTCTTAGTCATAGATTCATATTTTTTCACTTGGCAGTAATCATAACTGTAAACATAATCGATGGGTTCATACACTTATTCCTCTTAATGAATGTGAATAAAGCAAGAACAACAGTTTTTGTAGAATAAAATGGTACCATCAGTGTTTATTTCGTTGGCTTCTTACCAGCTGCCTACAGGCCAAATTCATTATGAAGTATTTCTAGAGAAACAATTTTAATATATTTGCACAGAGTTCACTTTTAAACAAAACTAACCAGTCAATATGTCCATACAATAATATATATAAACACTTTGTCCCAAACCATAATGATCATACACAGTGGAAACTACTGGAGTTACGTAATCAGTTGAAAGTGAGACTGAAAATATCTAGCTACTAGGGCAAAGAAATGACGATAACCACTTCTTTGTAAAAGCTTAAATCGGATTTCAGGCGCTTGATGGAGATTGCTTCGGTAAACCTGCGGAGAACTGAACTCTTTTGCCTATTGGTAATTTTCAACAATCTTGTGACGTCCACCTCATAACAGTGCCATCGCCAGGCATCTCCTTGACATGGGTCATACTCGTGTTTTATAACCTGAATCGATTTCTCGAGTTCAAAATTAGGACAGAGTAAACTGTCACTCCTTGTTCTTTTCCTCCTCTTTGATGTTCGAAGCTTCTTGAAATTGTATTTGGTTCGCGAAGAAATTAACGTTCAAGTCAATTAAAATTCTTATATGTGATTGTTTGAATTTCATTGGTTAAATGGGGCGAAACTAGTAGATGCATAACTTCTGTCTACTTGGCTAATATTCATCAGCTCATGCATTTTCCTCAAGATTACTCTAATATCACTTATTATTGATCATTTAAATGTAGACATCTTTGCAAAACAACATCACAGTTGTAGAACCATTATAAACTAGGGAGTCCTTGACAGCTGTTTTGTTCTAGTTTGGGGCTTCTTGGTAGTCTTCCTCCGAAGACCGAGTAGGAATCCAATCCAGGACCTTCGGGTTACGAATGCAAACTCGTTAATCATTAGGCCACTTGGGCCCGAAACTGGACGATCCATGAATCCTGACTTTGTCAATTCGTAATATATGCTTTACTGATAACCAGCTCCATCGTTGAGCATCCATTTCTATTTTTTTATTTTTTATTTTTGATTACAGCTTGATTCCACACCGTATTTTTGGTACAAGTATGGAATTTTCAGCATGGATATCGGTAGCCCAAATTTCGCAGGCCGACCATAGATATCAGGTGTGCGTCGGCGTGGGCTCGAACCCCGGACCATGTGCATGGTCGGCGAGAGTCCTAACCACTGTGCCACCGTAACACAGTGGATCCAACTAGTTTAAGTGGATTGATAACCCTGAAAGTCCGGGATTCGATCATGAGTGAGCACTGATGAAGAGTCTCAAACTAGGACGAAACAGACGTCCAGTGCTTTTCAGTTTTCAATGATTCTCTAACTGTGATATCGGTTCGTAGCAAAATCTGAATAGAAATCAATCCAGCTCAGTTCAAATCCCTTAATCGTAACAGCAATTAAATGTTCTTTTATGCTTTTGCATTCTCAACATGATTAGGTATTATTTTATTTTATTCCTTTACTTTCCCAGTGGAACATAGGGCTTCAAGCCAGAGGTTTGAAGTTTCAGTAGCAGTGGCATTGATTTTTATGGGATGGGGTTGCTAACCCTATGCCCAACCTTCTCTCTTTACCAATCTTATTACTGGCTTAGCCAGGTGAAGGAGTGCGTCGGCTGGGGATCGAACCCCGCACCATGCGCATAGTTAGCAAGTGTCCTAACCTCTGTGCCACCGACGCACTGATTAGGTATGCGTAATTCGAATAACTGTCTAATGTGTTTCTCGAAATGTGGCTCATTAAGTTAACCTCATGGCTGTCATTAGGTGATAGGGTGCCTACTTTGGATCTATCCTGACATACATTAGTCTGAGGAACTGGTTATTCTGATTAATCCCCTAAACATAATAAGTGTGGCTTGTCTAAAATCTGCTCTGGATAGTCTAGTTTGAACTAATCTGTTTCACTTTTATCAGTCAAAAGACGATTTTCTTTTTTAAAATTAATAAACAGTATCACTTCGAGTAAACACCAGAAAAAGATACACTGTTACATTTAAACTCTCAGGGTGTTAGAACTCTGTCTGTCTTTCCCTCTTCCTGACTTCTGATCTTCATAAGGGAGAATATCAAAATGTAGGGTCTAATGAAACATTTATAACAAGCCACATTTTGCGTTGTCTTTCTCTATCCCCTGAATCACACACATAGTTCCACGTTTTGTTTTCATAGAAGCCAGATACATATGATATCAACCTTCTTTAGGTAATAATGAGAAAGGACATTTTTTTCTAAACTTCAACAGAACTTCATGATCTTTAATCATAAATACCATTCAGTTGAATGTTTCATTAGATAAAAAAAGCCAAGCACCGAAATAAACATTCTATCATATCAAGTTTCATCACAAACTGACTGACATCAGTTAGGGAACCACTGAAAACCAGTTAGGAGTACTGTACAGCTGATTCGTCCTAGCTTTAGACTCTTCACCAGTACACAACCATGACCCCACCCATTGAAGATGGAACTCAAGACCTTCAGATCACAAGGTGAGCCCGTTGACAATTTGTTCACTGGGATGGAATCAAATGGCCCATCAGTTCTAACTTATGCCAATTCCCGATATATAGCGCTACTACCAGCCGATGTTTTTTTCCTTCACGTCCCCAGTGGAACATAGGACTTCAAGATAGTGGCTTGAAGTTTCTGTAGCAGTGTTTATTTTACAGGATAAGGTTGCTAGCCTTATGTCCAACCTTTCCTCTTTACCAGCATTATTTCTGACTTAGCGAGGTAAAGGAGTGCGTCGGCCAGGGATCGAACCTCGGACCATGTACACGGTCGGCGAGCGTCCAGACCGCTATGTCACCGACGCACACCAGCCGATGTCACTGTGCGTTTTTCGACTGTCCTCATACGCTTCTAATATATTAAAGTAGTATACTAGTAAAATACAGTATTTTTTCGAACATTTTCTTTACACATTTAAGAACCTAAAAATCAACCATTTCTTTTCCTTTTCAGTTGTTTTAGGTTCAATACTTGGAGTGTTGGTATTGCTTTTAGCTGTCCTCTTGGTTGTTTACAGTTTACGGCATAAGTGAGTCGAAAGTGCCATTTCAGTTTTTCGTCTTCATTACTTTGTATCCCTAGTTATAGTAGAGATGATATTGTTCTCATTTCTAGGCATTGGGTTTTATTAACCTCACACCCAACCTTTCTTCCGTATTTGATTGACTTACTACTGGCTAGCAATTTGGCCGAGGTTTAGGAGTGAGTCTACCGGTTGCGAATTGAACCCTGATTATTTGTGACGCTGTTGGCGAGCATTTTACTATCGAACCATTGATACGCTATAAAGTTAATAATAATGACAATAAAATTTGGAGAATGTGGTTTCTTTCGTCTTTGGCAATACCTTCTGATAACCCTTGTGTATCCTAACGTATAATTCACCAGGTACTGAGTTTGACTTGCAGAGTAACGCTACTGATAGGCAATATATTTACACAAGTTAATGTGCTTTACAATGAGCCATAGCCAGTGTATGCGTAATGACCCTACTTGACTACTAAAACCATGTTAGATGGGAGGGGAAAGGAGTATCGAGGATCGACTGCCATCACCCACTGATGGATGAGTAGAGACAAGTGCAACTAAGAGTCCATTATTTCAGATTTTACCTTAAGAGAGTTATACACATTCGCCATTTGAAATAAAAGTGAGTTAAGTGAACAGTAATCCCTTTTTTTCATAATTCACGATCTGTGAACCATACATTTTGAAGCTGAAAATGTAAAAAAGTCACAATTTTCTAACTACCTGGTGTCATTTAAAACACACAGACTTAGTAGTGTTGAGTGTTTATTGGTGAGGTAGTTAGTTTTCATCGATTAAGATGACTGGGTTACACCTTGTATGCATTTTCACATATTGTTCTCCTTGATAAGCAGTGGTAGTTTCAGAAAACTACAATTAGTAACCATGTAAGATATATCAGCAATCTATCAACTTTCTGAATCATGTCATGAACTGCAATTAGTCTAGATGGAGGTTGTCGAAATGTAAGGAATTAGTAGCTCAAAACTATTGGTAGATTCTGGGCATTTCGACTTGCCTTCTCTCACTTATATTTGTTCTACATCAATGTCATTCTATTTTTGAGTGTTCGGATAGAGAGATTAGATTGGATCCAATTTTTATGATGGAATGATATCAGTTCGAGAACCACTGAAAACCTCTAGGGAGGAGTACTGGACAACTGTACCCTCCTGGTTTGGGAATATTTAGCAATATGTACTCGTGATCATATCACCGGGAATCGAGCCCACGAATTTAACGTCAAAAAGCGAGCTCACTGACCATTCAGACACTAAGCCGAAATTCAGTGTCCTCGCCATGAGTTCTAACTTCTGTCAGTTCGAGAGTTTTTGCGTCACAGCCAATCAGTGTCATCAGCAATTATTTATCCTCAACCTCCAGCTTGGTGGACCTAAAAGTTCTGCGTTTGATCTACGGTTCGGTTGTGAGGAGAAGGACCTGGAACTAAGACAAACAGTCATCCAGTACTCCAATTGATATCGTTCCGTGATCAAATTTGAAATCATTTTTTTTCAGCGGTTATAATCAGTAAGAAGTAAGCGACCACAGATTTGTCAAAAGTGATACGTTGATGGCTCTCGGTGGAGTTATTTTTAATCACACGTCGTATAGTGAAAAACTTACTTCCCTTTTTGTAAACTAGAGTTAACCATCAGAGAAAAGTAAGCTCTAAGACGACCGTGTAATTTTAGTTATACAAGTTGGAGTAAATCACATTTGCATATCAAATGAAGAACAGTAAATTAAAGAAATGTAGGAAGCTAAGATGTTATAGACTATGGAACATGTAACTCTGGAAGACGGAAAATGTAAATAACCCTATAACTTAAGATGAAAGCAGGTAGGGTATGAATGTAGCCTGCATCAGTGCGATTGGGTGTGGCAGGTAGATTTAGTTTGTCATGCGGACTTCAGTCAGACAAGCTACACTTTTTCACATGACCCATGCAAACAGTCAATAATTTTAGTAGATTAAAACGCTTGAACAATGTATCTGAGTATATGAAATAATGGAATAATAATAATAATAATGGGACACTTATTCTTAATATAGCACATAATGGCCCTGTAACTTTTATTTTGTTGGATGACGATGATTGTTCATAGTCAGACCAAGATATTTTGTAGATGTTTCTGTCCTGTTTGCTTACCTGCTATTACGTCGGTCTTATTCCACTTGTAAGATATTTGCCCAATAAACATTTAGTAAGAAATGAAGATAGACTGGACATACACTGAGAAGACCGTCGAGTTACATCACTCAGCCAGCACGTCCTTGAATAGAACCCGAATGGCAAACATCAAGTTGGGTATACGTCTTAGTGTGTGTGACATGGTAGAAATCACGTGAGGAAGAAATAAAAACTTGTTGGCTATCGTGGAGCCAGTAAAAAGTGATGCCAGAGGATCGAGTGGAATAGAGATAGGGTGATGAAGCCTTAAGTTCCACTCAGAAGCAAAAGGAATACTAATAATGAGAATGAATATGTAGCAAGACTCATATTGTCGATGTAACATGTATTTTTAACCCTAGTCAATAATTACGTAATGCTAACAACCTCAGTAAAGGGACAGGATTGGGTAATATGCCTACAAGAGTAGTCACCGCAGTAGAAGGAAGTCTGTTTATGAAGATATGCGAAGTATCTGAAAAAGAGGAACAGTCGCCTAATCGAATATATGTATAGCAGTTGGTTTGATCGGTCATAGTTAGTACCCACTGCTATGCCCTAACATTGTCCATCAGTTAGACAGCCACTGAAACCCAAGCAGGACAGAAAAACTGTTTCATCTTCATGCTGAACTCATCAACAGCATACACCCATGATCCCGTAGGGGGTCTAACACGCAAGCTTTGAATTACGAGACTAACCTGTTGACAATTCAGACACTCAGAGGGAATCCGTTCTGTCAATGAATTCTCAGTGCTGCCAACACAATGTTTTCATTGATAAATTATCCAATCAGTGATTAGGAATTTCGACTGAATAATATTTGTAATAGTAGCTTTATTCCCAAATAGTAGATCTGATAAAATGTTGGATTTCCAACATGTTAGTAGAATATTGCTGCTTTTGATTTTTTGTTTACAATCTATAGTAGGGAGAAATATAAGTAATAAGAGATTTATATTCATCTAAGTGTCAATAAAGAATATGAGTGTAAAATTAAGAGTTAGTAGAAGTGCTGACAACAGAATATTAATGATTGAAACAATAAAAAAGGACGTCTTACCTACTGTCTTTCCGTAAGTTAATAGCTTTATGTCCAACACTTTTCTCAACACATAAAATAAGCACCGAATAAGGTATTGCAGAGTTTTCTATACTTAGTATAAAGTCTTTTCAAATTACTTTTAGTCCCATCTGATGAAATATAAGGAGATAGTTGAGTATAGAGAGAGGATGTTTGGATTCCGAAAAGATGATATTTGCCAGTTGCTTGTGTGAGCTTAAGTGTCTATCCACAACGGAATTGACGGGTTGGTTTAACGATATCCCATTCCCCAACAGTTCTTAACGCCTTACGCAATGTCAAAAAGTTTTATTGGAATAGCTCAGAAAGGATTAAGGCAGAGAAGTAAAGAAGAATATATAGAATATACAAGAATTAACAAACTGTCAAAGTAGAGAGTGAGATTGTCTTAACTTCTTATAAATTATCATGATGTGGGAAAACAAAGGAAGAACAAACGAAAAGGCATAAATCAAGGTACTTAACATTCGATTTAGAAGGCAGTGAAGTTGGGACTCTAATAAAGGAATCTTTCGAACAAATCACTCCATGTTTATGTCTGCAAGTGAAATTTACACTCTGGCGTTTATCTGTTCATTAACTGTCTTTTTGTGTTTTTCCTTTAATTTTTGTTTTTGATATTGTTGTTATTCATCCTTTAACACTTTAGACTGTTTGATCAATATCATAAAACAGTCAATTTAGCTGCTATCTCATCGTCTAGTCGTCTTGGTTCTTCATCGTTGGCAACGTTTAGTCGATCAAAAGATACTCTGCTGTTTCCAACATTTAAAAAATCTTCTTATAATACTCTTGTCACAAATGGAAATCACCGTAATCTATTTAAATCCTATCCACATTTAATAAGTCATCAGACAATAATGAATGAAAGCGTACCTGACCTACCAACACGACCACGACAACTACAACAACAATCATCAGTACCTCTAGCACCATCAACTGGAACAAGAATAACAGCATTACATAGTTCAATGATTACTGGAATGAATAAAAAGACATCAAATATTGATTTAATGAGAGGTAATGGCGGTTATCTTCCACCATGGCGTAATTCCTTTAAAAATAATCATAACAATATGATTAACAGTACTGTGACGCCTAATGCTATATCTGCTTTAACTTTAGTGCCGAATACACCAGGTTCAGAGCACCGACAAATGATGACCTCCTTACCATGGCTTCGTACTAATTCATCTACACACATTACTACTAATAATCATCATAATAATAAAAGTATAACTAATCAAAATGGTAGTAGTAGTAATAATAATAATTCAGCATTTGGGGCTTCTAGTGAAACAATGCTATTCTCATCATTAAATATACCAAATGGGTTACCACGTTCATGGTGGTTACCATGGCGTAAAAGTATGCGAAAAAAACGACGTCTGTATACACAATTACAAAGACGTCAAGAAATCCAGTCATCGCTATCACAACGTGGTCTCCTAGAGTCCAGTAATATGCTAGACAATAAATCAACGCCACATTTACGTAATAGCAGTTATTTGATGACATCGTCTAATGGATTCTTGATTAATGAACCATCACGTTCAGGACCAATGCCTCCATTACCTCCTATACCACAGTCGGCAACATCATCAAAAAGAGAAGAGGTGTCGCATTCGTTTGCTGCTAAACATCCACCTTTACCACAACAACTACGAATAAAACCAGATGGAGGAACCGGTAGTGAAAGGGTTAAGACAACACTAGTAACAAATGATGGGAATAATTTCGGTGGTGTCAATAGTACTTTATACACAAATCAAGATCCAATGAATTCACCAACCTCATTAATGTTGTATACAAATTATCAGTCGAAAATGACACCAGATGAACAGAATATGCTTAACGTATCAACAATATATCCGAATAAAACAAATTCGAATAATATCCAATCATTCCCGTCATCATCATCAACAGCCTCATCGTGGATGAATATGGTTAATAATGGCGCTGATAATGATTTACCGTGGAAATTCACTCCACCGAATAGAAACAGTTTTAGTAATGGTATCCGTCGTCTGTCATCGTTCTTTCGTAGTTTCCATCAAAGCAATGGGTCATTTACACCGCCAAGAAATTTTTCCGCCTCTTTTAAAAAGTCTTCTTACAGATCGTCATCGTTTAATACACGATCGGAAATGCCGTCTATGCCAACACTGCCAACGTTTAATCACAAGACTACATCGAATATGAGTAATAATCATAATAATAATGATATTAATAATAGTAGTAATAATTACATTAATCATACTGAACAGCCCATGGCGAATCATGATTCATTCCGTTTATTAAATGGGCGGCATATTACACACCCATTGATGCAATCATCGCAAGCTTTATCAGGTAAGGAATATGTCTCATAAATTTACTATATTTTTTAAACTACTTACAAGTAGTTAAATACCAAAGCACCATTTTTTCCAGTAAAATTATGCATAATCTAAAACAGTGACACTGTTATTAATTATTACTTCAGCAAGACTTTTTATAGGGATTGTATTACCTCCACAACAAACATCAGCTAAGAGGTTATATTCCCAGCAATACTATAATGTTTTAGTTGTTCTGCGCCCACAATTTGTATAGATTTTAGAACTTACAAGACCCACAAGAGGCCAATCAATGAGCACGAATAACCTAGCATTGCGTGATATCAGTTCAAATCCTACAGGGGACATGAATTCCTTCAGTGTTTCAAACATGTCTTACTGACGAGTGCTAAAAAGCACAAAACCTAAGTTAGATGGGGCTTCTCGCCTAGTGTCTCAAACCGTCTAATACGAATTTAGAGTGCACTGTGATCGCAGGCGATCTAACTCGTTAATGACCACATTGCAAACTTGATTGACAGAATAATCTGCAACAACACCAAGAACACTGACTAATCCCTGGTGGCCGATCAATTTAAAATTTACAAGGGTCCAACTGATCACAAGTTAGATCACAAATGGACATCTGTTGGAGAACCATTAAAATGCCTCCGCAGAGTACCACATGTCTGCCTTATCCCAACTTGGAAATCTTCAGTAGAAGTGCATATGATCCTGTCGGGGATCGAATGCTGAGTCATCAATCCATGAAGTGAATTGACAGAAGTTGGACTTAATGGACCACAAGCTCATATCTTAAACTAAACTTCCTAGGTTCTCTGAGGTAATATATGCTGGCTTCTGAAGAGTCCCAGACTAGGATAAAACAGCTGTGTAGTCATTCTTAGTTTCCAAGGTCCTCCGAGTGATGTCAGTTGGTTGTCTAAGTTGAACTCAGAATAAATAATGTTTGTTTTAATACTGGGCTTTGTTAGCTTACATCTTATTAGGTGTCTCTGAACCTAGTCAGTTTATCGTGTGTTTGTATACGATTGGTTCATACATCACCGTTAAGTCAGCCTTCTTTGCCTCATATTGGTATACTATCTTCATTAATTTAAACCTTTTAGATTGAATGGATAGTTTTTTAACGGGGGAAATAATTGAGTCTAAGGAAAGTCAAGTCAGTCAATGTTTCAATATATTTCGTATTTAAGCATACTCATCTTAGAGATGATTAATTCAGAACTATTTGCTTCTTGATTATCTCGTGTATCTGGATGGAAAACAAAGGTTTCGTCGGTAAAAATCCTCTCTGTTCTGATTTTATTCAGAACTGCTTTCTATAAATGTTATGTACTGGTCGAGAATTTAATAGTTCTGACGCAAGAAAGACGGAAACCAGAAGACCACTAGGTTTGCGATAATACTATTTTCCAAACACAAGGAGAAGCAATGTCCCACAAGTGTGTGAGAGCAAAATAGTCTGAATGTCCGAACAAGTGTGTGAACACAAGTGTATGAGCGAATATTCAGAATGAACAATGAACAGACAGTCTTAACATGATTGGCTAATTATAATGGAACATCGATCCATATATACCTAGCAAATATAACAGACTGTCAAACAGATACACATATTATATGGGTACATATCAATAAATCCTTTGCTTCATGTCGTACCATATAGCGCCGTGACCCCTGTCTGTTTGTAACACTAACTCTTGCGATTACACTCCCTTTCTATGAGAACTGTTTCATCAGTGTCAACAATCAGACTTAATCCATTGAAGATACAAGTCAATTTATTCATCTTCACAGGCGTCTTGATAGTGCTGATACCACTGCACTGTCATTATGTGGTGATAGCTAGATGCAAGCCAGAATTGTAGACAACAATTTACGCTAGTGTCCACGTCCCGAATCAGGGTCATGAGCAAAAAAGTGCCAAAGCTTAACCTTGAGAAAATCACCGGCCAATCACAGCGGAGATGACGTGTGGAAATATGATTCGCAGATATATGGCTTGATTTTCTGAGAAACAGTCACAAAGGGATAGGAGAATAACCTTCAGCAATAAAACAACCAATCAAAAGAGGTTGCTTCTCCACTAACGATAATGTACATAAAAATCTATAAATAGCTCTTGATTTTCTCAACAAACAATTTGTTGTCTGGCCGTTGTATTCTGTCGTTGCAAGTACCCAGGAATTTTCTGTCTCCACAGAACTTACTGATACAGGACTCTCCTCAGAAGTTAGAGACAATATATACTTTAAAATGGGACCCCCACATGTCTTGTCCTATGGACTTTCCAGGACAACAACGGGTGCATCTAAATGGATATCCATTAAGCAATTCTCTAATGTAAAACAAGCAATAAAGGTTAATAAAGCAGAATTTAATGATGGATTCATCGAATTTCGGTAGAACTCGTCATCTGAATACTCTACATACACGGATATATATACTTTTGAAATTACATTGGGAGATATAAGACTGATAAGTAAACAAACTACATTGAATTAGTCATGCAGAAAGACGGGTGCGAATGTTTTCCAGGTCATGTTCAAATAGATAAGGGGAGAGAGAGTATGAGAGTTCAAAACTAAGATAAATTGCATTACGCTTCAATTACATCACTTAGATAAACAATTAGTCATTAGGGAATATAACGGGAATTGCAAACAGACTAATATCAATAGTAATAGTTATAATAACAATTTTAATAGTGTTGAAGTGAGTTAAGATAATCTTGCTGATGAAGCATAGTTTTAAATGAATCAAGAATAATAATAATAATGATAATAATAATCACAATAATAAGAAGAAGAGGTAGAATAATAGTAATAACAAGTAGAGAATAATAAGTAAAACGTATTACCATGGTAGATTCAGAGTCACGACCATCTCCTTTTGTATATAGAGAGCTGGTTTATAAATTCGAATTGCACAAGCCTCTTCAATTGCAAGCATCTTCTTGTTTCTTTGTTTGCTGACAATGGTGAATGACTTGACCGCGTTGATATCATGTCCGTAATCCACAAGGTGTTTTGTTATTGAGGATTTTGGTACTTTGCACTTAGCTGTTTTCAACCATTTTGGGAAATGCTCCATCATGCGAGTAGACAATCGCCTTTCCGTACGACCTACGTATTTGCTGCCTCTAATGTCTCTCTATGTATTTACTCTCTAATGTCATAATTATTTATCTAAAATGACATACTTTAGTCGCTCCTATAAAATAGTTATCTATACAGTACTGAATTATAAAATCTGGATGAAGAAATCGGCAGAGCAATAGGTGTACAACATCGATGTTGGTACAGCAGCGGTGTGATTGGTTGTTCAAGGCCATTCCATAAGTTACTCGTATAAGTGGTGATTATTTACAATTTCTGACAAATCGATTACTTAACCTACAAGGTCTATTCTAACTATAACATTCTCCACCCACCTCCTATGTTTATTGCTTGAATTGTATTCAAAGTATTTAGATATTTTCCCGATCTCTTATGTTTTATCTCCTTTCTTTTTTTCCAGAATCCAGTGATTTACATAAAAAACATAATCGTGCGTATAATTTATGGAGTAATCAGACAGTTAAACCATCCTTATTTCAACAAGATGGATATAACTTCAATGTGTATAGCAGCAGTGGAGATGAGCATACAACTATCGGCGATATGCTATCCGGTTCACGTAATACAACTAAAACAAGTTTACAGGGTAGTAGTCGTCTAGATTCCTTATTATCAACTGAGTTGATTGATTTATGCGGTGCAACCACTGCTGCAGGAAATGGACGCAATGGTAGTGGTGGCGCTTTAAATAAAGATGATCCATTCATGAAAATGAATACTACATCAACTACACTGAAAGATCCTAATCCAATAATGTATAATAATAATAACAATAGATTTGATTATATTGAAAAGGATCAGATTAATCAATCACCATATATCATTACTACTGATCCGTATTTAGAACCTGTTTCACTTAAAAGACGACAACAGAATTTGATTACTAGTCAGATTAATAATAATAATAATAACATTGATAACAATAGTAATAATCGTAATCCAACTAATGGCAAAATCAATGGTGATACAGGAATCAATACAAATTATGACCTCCTCAAAGGAAATAGTAAGTTATGTCTACAGGCCATGTGATCTCGACGATTCTAAGTATTTGTTGAACTATTTGAATTATCTGTTATCATTGTGAACAATTTTTAAAGCCACTGTTCATCTGATTATAATCAACCAAACATCCTTGATTATTGGATAGGACGATATGTCTATTACACCGTATATTATTATTATCAGTCCCTCGGGTTCCGAGTAAAACACAGTACTTCAGCAGCATACCTCTATTTTACCGTGTTCTCCAGCTGGTAGAATCCCATTCGGGTTCTACTCGAAAGCCTCACGTGTCATGTCACTCAATTGTCTCCTCGGCGTATGTCAAGTCCATCTAAATTTTCTTCCGTCTATGTGTTAGGCGGTAGGTTCTAGGTTGGCTTGTTGCCAGCGTTCGCTTTATTTTATCTTTTTCTGTCAGCCATCTGGTTTTCAGTAACGAGCTATGGTACCTGTTGACGGAATTTGCAGTCTGTTGGGAAAGCTTTCCATGACAAGACAGTCCTCGGAACAATATAGAAGCGTTGAATTACTCAAGATTAGTGTTGAAAACCCGGATCTTATTCATCACACCAAGTGCAGTAGATTTCCACACTGACTTCACAGTCATGAAAGTTTTTCTTCCGTTTCCAGTCCTCATCTGTGCTGTCTGTAGTTGAAACAATGCTACCGAGAAAAATGAAAGAAGTAACCTCATTCAAATGTCTTCTACTGATAGTGGTTAGTACTTGTTTTTTTGGTCCAGCATCCCTATCACCTTTGTTTTCTCTATGTTCACTTGAGATCCTGTCCTCGCTACCATTTCTTCCGCCAACTCTTTGGATTTCGCCTGTAAGTTTTCGAGAGGAGGGCCCACTGCTGACTGAATTTTAATATGTCATTATAAAAAAACAGTATCTTTCACTTCTTTGTAGGAAGCTGTCCAACTAATGTTTTTTCTAAAGAATGCCTGTTGACATGCCCATGTTGAAAGACATTTGCCAAATTCATTAGAAATCGTAAGGTTTTTGTTTACTCTGCCAACCGATAGCTGCTACTTTGAAATGATGGTCGCGCTTGAATACTGCAATGGGCCAACGAGTTACACTCTCTCTGACCCATTTCCAGCAGGCCCTATCATACCAGGAAGATCGGTCGGATAGCGGTTAGGCTAAAGGTAATTACCACCATAGTGTATTATCTTTAAACTGCGTTGAGAATCCATAGGTGAAGTCATGCTGCTGAGGAACTGGAATTTAACAGCAATAAGATGTTTCCCACATACTACCAACAATGCTGCCTATCTGCTCTGTGGAGGAGGGTCAGAAAACACCCATGCAAATAAAGACAGATGACAGACTGGTTCCTACCGGAAAGGAACAATTCGATTTTTCTTACAGAAATATATTATATGCAAATATTATATACCTCGGAGATTTAGGCTAAAAATAACCAGTTATATTGGTTGCATAAGGTTGGGCTTCAACATTGTCCAGTCGACTGACAAAAAATAATGGGCTTCCTCCCAAAGCCATAACTTACGCATTCTATTGAAATTCGATCCAAGTCTCCTTCAGCTCCTCTCAGCCTCTTCCTGTCATTAACAGTACATCTAGGTTATATATAAACTTCTCTATACAAAGAAGACAAACCAGTTGATGAGAACGTAGCATATCCTGTGCATATTAGGACGTAACATCCTAGAATAGTCATGTTAACTTTAGTAGGGTTCAGTTGTAGAAACATTGGCAATTGTAAGAACAGAATATAGCGTCAATTTACGAAGTCTGTGACTTTGAGAGATCTTGACAACTATAGACCAAAAATATTCTCAACAGATCATCCTTGAAATTGTTTTGTCTATTAAAGCCACGTTTGACTCTTCACCTCAATTTTGTGTGTATTATGCCGAAGTTTGACAACTAAAGCTGGTTGATGTATGCATTTCTACACGAAGACAGAATAATCCGATTTTGAGTATATTTGTACATATTAACTTTTTTTCACTGAACTAGGCTTTCTTTTTTCTGTCTGTACTCTTCACGACACTAAAGAACCTGATCAGCATGCAATTCATAGTGGAACAAGTTCTGCCATCAGTTCTTTAGTATTTGCTGATGACTGTGACATCATTTCAAAGGTATCCGAGAGTTCGCTGAATAAATCAGATCAATATAGTGAATTGCACAGGTTAACACCACAAACATCAAATAAATCGATTGTTTCTGATCCAACTCCTGTTGCTCCTGCACCTCCGCCTCTTACTTCTGCCACTGCATCGCATAAAACGGCTAATCCTCCAACGAATATTCTTAATATTCCACAATTCAAACATAATATACCTACAATTGATTATGTCACATATGATGAAACACGTTCATCAGAAAACAATCTTTTGATAGCAAATAAAAATCCTGTGAAACAACCAATCATATCCCCGTCGACAGACTATAAGAGTAATAACAATAACAATGATGATGATTATTATGCTCAAAATATCTTAAAATCAAATGAAACAATTCTATCATCCAGATCATCGATTATGCCTGACTATTCACAAATGAAAAGAAGACGAAGTACCATAAAAAGTGAGTAGATTTCATTTCACTTCTGTAATATCATTTAATATATTGTGAGGATAGAATTCAGTTGGTTTGGTGAATTGATATGAGTTGCTCTGGACTATTTTTACTATTACCCTCGCTGGATTCCCATTGGAACATCACCATTTTACCCTCTTCTTGACAGTCTTTTATAGCTGACTTCACGGTTACCCATAAGCTCTAAGTGCTTTCTCATACAATGTCCTTAGATCCACACCCAAACCATCACTTCCTACTAGAGCGTTTAGCGTGTGATGTTGCTGAACAGTCTTCTGATCCATCCACTTCCATTTCCTTCTGTTTACTTGTTGGGCCGTAGGTTCTTGACCGTTTCGTTACATGCATTCTGATCTTCAGTATGGAGTGAAGGTAGTTTTTAATGAAAGTGTACAATAAGCTGCTGGATACGTTTTTGCTGAAGCATGTGTCAAGTCTTTGAATTATATTGAAGCACTAACTGACTTAAAATTAGTGTTGAAGATCTGGATATTGTTCCTTATGCTGATTACGTGTAGTAGATCTCCATATTGATTTCAGAGTATTGAAGGTGTTCCTGGCGTTCAAGCCTCAGAGGGAACGTCATCCAACTGACCGATGGCGAAACATGAAGAAATGTCCACGCCGGATCTCAACATTAGCGCTACCATTAACCGAATCACATCTGCATTCAGTATTGAAAATTGGTCATCCTGAACAATTCCAAAAACTACTTATTTCATTTAGTCGTATATATTGTACGAACCTAATATTCGATTTCTTTTAAATTCATATTTAACAACTCGTAAGTGTGTTTAGAAGAAACCATTAAGACATAATTCTACATAAATTTGATGTAGCTAAATAAGAATGAAAAGTAACCGTGGGTGCACAACAAAAGGTGGTGTCATAAATTAATGTTTATAGTCAAGAAACAGGTGATTAAGGCAGAGACATACTATCTATGGATTTTATTTAAACGTATCAATGATGAGTGAGTTGTTTGATGGGATTTCAGATTTGAAAAAATTCAACAGCTTTACTTTATATGCCCAGTGTCAATCTGTTATGTACTCGTCGCTGAATTATTGTTATGGACTGGTCGAGAAACTAATAGTCCTGACGCGAGAAGGCGGAAATCAGAAGACCACTAGGTTTGCGATGATACTTCTATTGTCCAAACACAAGGAGACGAAAATAAATGGTCTCACACCAAAGTGGTAAGTAAGTAAAGTAGTTGTAAAGTGAAGTAGTTCACACAAATTGTGAATGCGAATATATATAAATAATTCAGACAAGCGTGGGAAAAATCATTAGACAGTCTTAACATGAATGGCTAATTATAATGGAGTGTCGATCCAATTATACATAGCGAATATAGCAGACATGCCAACAAACATATATGGATATATGTCACCAAGCAACGGACTGTCAACAAACACTCATATTATATATAATATAATATAAGGAGAATACACATTATTAAGGGAGACAAGTCCATACAAGTGAAGTGGTCACAGACTAACCGAGCAAACAGAAAGAGAGACCAACATGCACACACACACATAAATATATATATGTGGATACATATCACCTCCCCTTTTGAGAAAATGATGATTAGTAGGATGTTTACCTGGGGGTTTATCTGGGACCTTTGGGCTTGTTGTTGACGCCTGTCGTTTCGTCTGATTGTTGGGTTTGCGGCTTCGGCTCCGTCCGGAATTGTCTAGCATTTTATGCTTCTTGACTGTATTGCGTAGAGAATTTAGTGGGACATCAGCCAGATGCAAACGATCGAACCAATCAAGTCCCAAAAGATTTAAATCACTCTTGGTGACGTAGCAAATTCCTGTGAATTTGGTATTGCGGAAGGAAACGGAACATTTGAGTTCACCAATTAGTTTGAGCCGCCCACCACAGGCGCTGAGAAGAGACTGGGAAGTATTGGTGATAGGTGGTCTGCCAATATAATTCCAAAGTTTCTCTGATATAACAGTAATATCAGAGGCAGTATCTAGCTGCAGACGAGTATCATGACCATTCATCTGAAGGTCAATATATTTCCGCATAGCTGGTGTTGTGACTTGACAGGTTGCACGTAGACTCAGTGATCTTTTTGGAGATTTAGGACCAACATTTTGTCGAGCTTTCGCTGGATTTTGACATCTGGGTTTGCGTGGCTGACAAAAACCATTTTTGTGACCGATGATCTTGCACTTGCTGCAACGATGATTTTTGTATGGGCAAGACTTTACAAAGTGCCACGCGCCACAATGCCAGCATGGTGATGGTGGGGTCTTCTTTGCAGTATTTTGTGAAGTTGGACGAGTATCAGTAGATTTCCGCGGGACATTAGAAGAAGGTGGGTCAGGAGTAGCTGATGAGAGATTTTTGCTCTTTCGTAATGCATGAATATCAGAGCTTCTCGGAGGTGTTGATTCGACCAGGTGTGTGTCTTTCTGCAGATTAATCAGCCGTTGATATTCATCAGCTATGTCATGTAATGTTAACTTGGGATTTTGTTCTAGCTGATTGAGCAGTCGAGTTCGGATATCTGTGAAACGAGGAGATTGGAGACTGCATATGAGAATCAAGGCTTTGAACTGATCATCTGTTAAGGACCTGAGTCGAAATCTCTCACATTCTCGGTTGACTGTGCCAACGTGAGTAAGAAAATCATCATTTTCATTCATTGCCAGCTTGAGGCAACGATAACGTATACTGAATAATGAGGAGTGGTCTCCGAAATGTTCACGCAGCAACTTTATTGCATCATCGAAACAATTGTCACGTGGTTTCTGTGGTAAAATTAGGTTGCAGTACCGTTCATATTCTGCCGGACCCAATTTACGTAGCAAAACTCGCACCTTCCAGGCATCGTCTTGTGAGGCGAGATCAACAGTGAATAAATCCTCATAACGTTGATACCATGTGTCAAAAGTGACATTAGCCTCTGGGTCATAATTGAACTGTGAAATGCTGTTCACAATTCCGTCGACAGATGGTAGCATGGTATGATTGGGATTGCTTGAAGGTGGAGCTGGACCAGTCTGTTGGTTGACGAACATTTCCATTAATTTCATTTGTCGTTCAAACAATAATTCCAATTTAATAGGATCCATAGTAAATTGTTATGTTGCTGCTGCTGAGTGGTTAATAGTAGTTTTCCCCGTAGCCAAATTGTTATGTACTCGTCGCTAATTTCCCCGTCGCCAAATTGTTATGTACTCGTCGCTGAATTATTGTTATGGACTGGTCGAGAAACTAATAGTCCTGACGCGAGAAGGCGGAAATCAGAAGACCACTAGGTTTGCGATGATACTTCTATTGTCCAAACACAAGGAGACGAAAATAAATGGTCTCACACCAAAGTGGTAAGTAAGTAAAGTAGTTGTAAAGTAAAGTAGTTCACACAAATTGTGAATGCGAATATATATAAATAATTCAGACAAGCGTGGGAAAAATCATTAGACAGTCTTAACATGAATGGCTAATTATAATGGAGTGTCGATCCAATTATACATAGCGAATATAGCAGACATGCCAACAAACATATATGGATATATGTCACCAAGCAACGGACTGTCAACAAACACTCATATTATATATAATATAATATAAGGAGAATACACATTATTAAAGGAGACAAGTCCATACAAGTGAAGTGGTCACAGACTAACCGAGCAAACAGAAAGAGAGACCAACATGCACACACACACATAAATATATATATGTGGATACATATCACCTCCCCTTTTGAGAAAATGATGATTAGTAGGATGTTTACCTGGGGGTTTATCTGGGACCTTTGGGCTTGTTGTTGACGCCTGTCGTTTCGTCTGATTGTTGGGTTTGCGGCTTCGGCTCCGTCCGGAATTGTCTAGCATTTTATGCTTCTTGACTGTATTGCGTAGAGAATTTAGTGGGACATCAGCCAGATGCAAACGATCGAACCAATCAAGTCCCAAAAGATTTAAATCACTCTTGGTGACGTAGCAAATTCCTGTGAATTTGGTATTGCGGAAGGAAACGGAACATTTGAGTTCACCAATTAGTTTGAGCCGCCCACCACAGGCGCTGAGAAGAGACTGGGAAGTATTGGTGATAGGTGGTCTGCCAATATAATTCCAAAGTTTCTCTGATATAACAGTAATATCAGAGGCAGTATCTAGCTGCAGACGAGTATCATGACCATTCATCTGAAGGTCAATATATTTCCGCATAGCTGGTGTTGTGACTTGACAGGTTGCACGTAGACTCAGTGATCTTTTTGGAGATTTAGGACCAACATTTTGTCGAGCTTTCGCTGGATTTTGACATCTGGGTTTGCGTGGCTGACAAAAACCATTTTTGTGACCGATGATCTTGCACTTGCTGCAACGATGATTTTTGTATGGGCAAGACTTTACAAAGTGCCACGCGCCACAATGCCAGCATGGTGATGGTGGGGTCTTCTTTGCAGTATTTTGTGAAGTTGGACGAGTATCAGTAGATTTCCGCGGGACATTAGAAGAAGGTGGGTCAGGAGTAGCTGATGAGAGATTTTTGCTCTTTCGTAATGCATGAATATCAGAGCTTCTCGGAGGTGTTGATTCGACCAGGTGTGTGTCTTTCTGCAGATTAATCAGCCGTTGATATTCATCAGCTATGTCATGTAATGTTAACTTGGGATTTTGTTCTAGCTGATTGAGCAGTCGAGTTCGGATATCTGTGAAACGAGGAGATTGGAGACTGCATATGAGAATCAAGGCTTTGAACTGATCATCTGTTAAGGACCTGAGTCGAAATCTCTCACATTCTCGGTTGACTGTGCCAACGTGAGTAAGAAAATCATCATTTTCATTCATTGCCAGCTTGAGGCAACGATAACGTATACTGAATAATGAGGAGTGGTCTCCGAAATGTTCACGCAGCAACTTTATTGTATCATCGAAACAATTGTCACGTGGTTTCTGTGGTAAAATTAGGTTGCAGTACCGTTCATATTCTGCCGGACCCAATTTACGTAGCAAAACTCGCACCTTCCAGGCATCGTCTTGTGAGGCGAGATCAACAGTGAATAAATCCTCATAACGTTGATACCATGTGTCAAAAGTGACATTAGCCTCTGGGTCATAATTGAACTGTGAAATGCTGTTCACAATTCCGTCGACAGATGGTAGCATGGTATGATTGGGATTGCTTGAAGGTGGAGCTGGACCAGTCTGTTGGTTGACGAACATTTCCATTAATTTCATTTGTCGTTCAAACAATAATTCCAATTTAATAGGATCCATAGTAAATTGTTATGTTGCTGCTGCTGAGTGGTTAATAGTAGTTTTCCCCGTAGCCAAATTGTTATGTACTCGTAATTTCCCCGTCGCCAAATTGTTATGTACTCGTCGCTGAATTATTGTTATGGACTGGTCGAGAAACTAATAGTCCTGACGCGAGAAGGCGGAAATCAGAAGACCACTAGGTTTGCGATGATACTTCTATTGTCCAAACACAAGGAGACGAAAATAAATGGTCTCACACCAAAGTGGTAAGTAAGTAAAGTAGTTGTAAAGTGAAGTAGTTCACACAAATTGTGAATGCGAATATATATAAATAATTCAGACAAGCGTGGGAAAAATCATTAGACAGTCTTAACATGAATGGCTAATTATAATGGAGTGTCGATCCAATTATACATAGCGAATATAGCAGACATGCCAACAAACATATATGGATATATGTCACCAAGCAACGGACTGTCAACAAACACTCATATTATATATAATATAATATAAGGAGAATACACATTATTAAGGGAGACAAGTCCATACAAGTGAAGTGGTCACAGACTAACCGAGCAAACAGAAAGAGAGACCAACATGCACACACACACATAAATATATATATGTGGATACATATCACAATCAGATACTGAACAGCTACTAACCTTCAGAATGCCACTTACTCTGCATATTAGGCTTTCAGGGAATATATTCATAGAATAGAAGATAGAAGTATCTTTCAGCTCTCATACTGTATATATATATATATATATATATATATATATATATATATATATACAGTCTTCCTTAGACGAGAAATCTTAATTATTTCTCAGTTCATATTAGATGGTTGGAGGCAATTAGCAGGAAGCCTTGCTTGACCTAGGTTTCGTCCTAGTTGGCACTCACCAGTCAGCAAGGCGTATCTACAAACAACTTGGAAGGACTCATGTCCCTTCTGAGATTCAAACCCGCATCACCCAGTGCTGAAGTTTCCATTGAGCTATTCGGTCTACCATCTGACCTCCTGTAGAACTGTACTGGATATTTTGATTGGACACTAGTTACTGAATAGTGTTGAATCAAAGTGCTCCTCAGTTCATTAAATTTTACCATTGTTAAAATTTAAACAAGACAATCAATATAAGCGAACACTATTGCTGCTTTCAATTAGATCTTCTTTAGGCTTTACTTTAATTTACATAACTTTGCATATAAAAAATATAACCAGTGACGGTGAGTTAGTGGATCAAATAACCATAATAGTAAAAATAAGGTGTTAAGTGTTTTAAACGTCAGTGATACCAACGATTATAATGATAACAAAATACTGATAATAAGTTTCATACACATGGCGATAAGAATAATAAAGGTAGTATTATGTGTATATGTAGACAGTCCAATAAATAAATTAGGTCAAATCTAAAAAGTCACGTAATACTAAAGGTGAAGTGGACGGAAAATCAGAGTTTCAATAAATATCATAAAAGTAAGAAGGAAATGGAAAATAAGAAAGAGTGGGAGGGTTTTAATTAGACCTTACCTAGGCCAAGGGAGAGACAACGGTAGAACAAACTTCTTTCGTATAGAAAGACTATGACTGTTCTCTCGAATCCCCATAGCTTCAGGTATCTGTAAAAGGCGGGCTCGAATTCCGTTTGAAAGGTTCTGTGGTATGTGATAGATAGCTTTGAAGGCACTATTTCTGTCCACTTGGTAACCTCTATCAATCAGATGAGACAAAATAGAACGTCTTATGAACTTTATTTGACCTTTTCTGAACTATGAAGGAAGATGTTAAGTAATGCGTTTGTTGAGCCGTTCGCCCTATATAGCTTTTTCAGCAGGGGCAGCTGAACTTATAAATTCATATAGAAGTGGCACATCTGGGTAAATTATCTTTCGCTTGAGTAATCATAATCAAAAAATGACAAATAAAGGATGGCAGCAGTATAAGTCCGTTTTATGGCTCTATACGGTCTTCGATGTAGGAATTCACTGGCCGTATTCCCATTCAGTTGTAGTTTCAGTGACAATTGTTTCTTTTTAGTCGTAGTTTTCAGTGTTCATTCAATAGAGTGACATATCAATAGTACTCAAAAATCTAGCTATCCAGAACAAACTTAGAATGCAACAGACTATGAGCTACCCTCATTGTGCAATAGTTAATAATACTGTCCAGTTTCTAACACTGTAGTAGACCGGGTGGCATCCAGCTCCTCCATTGACTGACAGTCCAGTGGTTAAGATAAGCAGCTGCATCTCCAAAAGCTTACAACCTGAAGGCTATTTGGCATATTATGCAATCAAAATATCTTGCCATCAAAGCAGATTTCATCATGATTCCATGACGCTGTATCGTGAATCGACAAAAGTTATAATTCATTTACCACTGAATTCTTACTGAGCTAGTGGATGATTGTTCACTTCTTCAGCTGCAGCTCATGGATTCTACCCTTGATGTGATCATGTCTGCATACTGCTGAAGGTTTTCAGAATAGAACGAAACAACCGTCTTTCAATTTATTATTTTTATTTTATGTGTTCGTGTCCCGACTGGAATGTAGGGATTAAAGAGTCAGCTTTGAATTTTCAGTAGCAATGGTTTTTTTAACTGGATGGGGTTGCTAGCCCCATGCTCAACCTTCGCAATTTGCAGGTCTCACTACTGGCCAAGCGAGGTTTAAGAGTGAGTCGACCAAGAATCGAACCCGGACCACTTCCAGAATGGTTAGCGAGTGTTCTGTCACTGAACCACTGAGGCACCATAGTTTTGAACGGTCGTCTGAATAATGTCGATTAGTCACAAAATCCTCTTCAAAATCATTTTCTACAAACAACTTTGAGTTACTCGTCTTATTTGTAAATGTTTCACCATACAACAATTGATATTGGGTCAAAGAACAGCTAGAAAACAGGGTTACTTTCGAAAATATAACATCGGTATAATAAACTCCAAAAATCCACCAATCTAAACGATCTGTCTTTCTGGTTAAACTATATAATCGTTTTCTTGGGATTTCCTAAATTTTCTGGGTTTTTTAAATATCCTTTTAGGCTGTGATTCACGTCCATTATCTGATGCAATGATTAGTAATCATTATTATGATCTAAACAAAAATACAAATTATCAAGATATCTCTATGATATCACCATCGCAACCACAACCATATCCAGGAGACAGAGATAATAACATTCCATCGGCAATTAAATCCCATCCACCGCTACCACCTTTATGGTCTAATAGTAGTATAAACAATAATGATCGAAATTTTGGCTCAGTAGATTCATTATATGAAACAGTTGACATACCGAAGACAAATTCTGCAATTCCTGCAATGACACCGAAAACTGCAACAGCAATGGCTCATATGGTAAGTGTCGATGTATTTATATTGCATCCTGATAACAGTTATGAGCGGGTGGAAGATTTTGTCCAGAAATGAACCAATCAGAACTGATCATCTACAAACCTTGACTCACAGTTTGACTAACAGACAACCAGTGAGGGTAATCCTTTTGAAACGCCTGCGCTTTGGAACCAAAGTTATGCATATTTTCTCATTTCTGAGTCATTGATCAGAAAATACTTCCACTGGTGGGGTATCAAATGGAGCTGTAGGTGTTCGTGCACAACCGTGTCTATATAGCGGTTGGTAAGTTTTCCTGAGAAGTTATCAAAAAATAATAATAATAGTTAGGAACCATTGAAAAAATAGATTAGAAAGTGGTGAAGTTAGACTACAGCAACCAACGTAGTCCGCCTAACCACTAACCTCGAGCAACTAATCAGAATTAAGGAGTAAAGAAGCAGCAAGTATGTTTTAACAAATTACTATAGATCATGTTGTTCTGAAATTCGTTCATGTTTCTGATTCCAATCCTTAAACTCCCTCAGAATTCCATACATCTCGAAAGACCAGTTATCCTATCAAGTTCCCTCCTCATATGTGTATGTGTGTCGGCCATTATTCATAAAGAAATCAATCAGTCAATCTTCCTGGAGCTCGTTAACCGACTCCACAACAGAAGTCACAATTCTGTTTGGTTATACCACCACTAAATCCGATTCGTTGTCGAAGATCACTTACCAGTTGTAGTTGAACTTCACCTGGAAAAGTTTATTAGATTTTTGGGAACTAAACGTGTTACACAGCTAAACTTGTCATTCCAATGTACATTTCGTCACGAACTGACATCAGTTATTGAGGTGATTGAAAACCAGGAAGCAATAGAGAGCTGTTTCATCTTATTTCGGGATTCCTCATCAGTGTGCAAGCACGCTGCCATCAGGGTTCGTACTCGGGATCTTCAGGTTAGAACACCTAGCTAATGGACCATTTAGTCACTTGGACTGGGATTTAGTGACTTGTGAATTACAACTTTGTCAGTTCGTGATGTAATGCGGCTATCCACTTCATTTTGGTATGGTGGAGTCTACTGGTCAAAAAGTCTTAGTACTGCTTCAGGAGATCGATACTCAGATCATAGGATTCCTTCAGATTTTGGATAAATTTCACTTGTTAGATTCGCTCATTGAAGGCATTAGTGAGGACAGAGAGCACTATGGCCACGATTTGACAAAGTTAACATTCACAGGTCACTGAATTTTGTCCGATGTGGCTGAATCGTCAATCAGCTTGGTCATGTAAACTGAAGGTCCCGGGTTCGATTCCTTCGTGGGATCGTGGGTGTACACCTTTGAGGAGTACCGAGACAGGACGAAACAGCTCCATTGCTACCACGCTTTCAACCATCTCACTAAATGATGCTGGTTTGCGGTCGAAATCAAACAAATGGAATCATTCCAAAATTCCAACAAATCTAATGGTTTGAACTATGATTATGACAACTCATAACTTTTGTTACTATCCTCTTTCAAGGAAACCGTATATATATATATATATATATATATATATATATATATATATATATATATATATATATATATATACGGTTGCACAGCTAAAGAAAATGAATTCACTGAAAATAGACTCTTAACTGCGCTACCTGTTTTGTCCTTTTCAGTTGCAATAAATCAAAACTCAACCAACCGATGATTCAATCAAGTTAGTTTTCAGCTCACATAGAGTGAAATTTACTCTTTTGTAACGTGAGCGAGTGAACTGAAACTTAGGCACAACAACAGTGAACTTATTGGGGCACCTCAACAGTTTCTGTTTTACTGAACCATGAAAATATTAGGAAACAGAGTCACCAGCTTGTGAATGTAAGGATGATTGTATTTAACAAAAATATGTCATGTATGCATATTTTCGCATGTTACAGCAATGATCAAATAGCGCATTCTGATTGGTCGTTTGTGGCAGAAAACTGTCCAATAAAATTAACCTGTTCATATAACAAAATAACCATTTTGAGCTATGCCAATAAGTCTCCAAGACCAAAAACAGGCACTTTACATCAGTCTACATGGGCAGCTCAAACCAGCTGTCAATGACTTTTTGGACTGGTATTAAGTTTTGATTTGACCACCTCTAACCTAGTCCAATGTCCGATAACACTGCTTGACAAGGAAAACAGTCACTCGATATGCGTTACAAGTATCTTAGCCATCTCAACTGATTTAGTTTCACAACCTGATCCATTGACCACCTTTCCTTACCTAACATTCTACGTCCAACTTCATTATTGCTCATTATATTATACCGTCTAAACACAAAAGGCAGAACGCAGACACATGGTGAAAGACAGTTAGCGTCTTCAAGTCTTCCACTCTTAAAAGGCCACATCTCATAGCCGTAAACAAGAAGCACAGAGTGAACCGCTTCAACATGATGCAAGCTGTCAAATTTCACATGAATCTGTGTTATCTATACTGAAATTTCGACCTGATTTATTTCATTATATATGATGTAATTTTCGAAATCAATGAACTCTATCTCCAAACTAACAAACTCGTTTGTGTATTCAACGGTTTGTCTTCCTTTTCAACTTATTATTTTACAGATTCAACGACCATCCTTAATTCCCAGTAATCTGAATACAAACTATGCTGAACGTTGTAAAATGGCATTACCGCCGACACCGAATTCATTGAATATCAAGGCACCAATACGATCAATCGGTGAAATGGATGATTGGAATCTACCAGGTTCAGATGATTCAGATGATGATAATCTTGGTTCATGAAGTGAAAAATTAAATAAATAAATAATAATAAAGCAACATTACTATAGGCAAATTTCTATTCTTGAGTGATTCTTTCTTAACCATTCATATCATAACTACTACTAATCATATCAAATTGGTGGAAGACAATAAAGTAAGTAAAGAAATAGAAATGAGATGTTTAACCTGTCTTAATTAGTAGTATGATATTTATTAATAAGCAGTATGGTTTTATGGTTTTGTCTCTTTTCCTATTTTTATCACTTATTTTGGTCCCAAGCGGAACATGAGCAACAGATCAAGCTCGAGGTATGACGTTTCAGCAGCGATGATGTTCTTCTGACAAGGTGGGGTTACTAGCTTCACATCTGACCTTTTCTCCACGCCGGATTACTATCGGCAGGCTAAGCAAGGTTTACGACTACATACTTGGTTAACAGGTATTCTACCGCTAGACTGCTGACGCCTTTTCTCTGCTGCCAACCATGAACTCATATTGAAACGTTCAAAAATGTTTCAGGAAGCTTTCAGGAGTGATACAACACATCAACATTTCGGTAGTTCAGTGATAGAATGCTAGCCAACCTTGCAGCAAATAATCCGATCGGGTTAGATTCCCGATCGATACACTCTTACTAATCGATAGTAAACCCGGAAAAGACGGAAGGAAGGTTGGGGATAAGGCCAACAACCCTATCACGTAAAAATAAAACAATATCACCTAGGTATTCATGGGTAATGCAAATTAAACTTAATGATAATTGATAACTGCTATACATATGCGACTTTCAGTGGGAATACCAAGTACATCCAGCTGCCGAGTCCATGAAAGAACAAAACGTGCTTCTAGCATTCTACTATTTGCTAGCCACGGCTAAATTCGAGTTATTCATCCTGGTAAATTATCAAGTCATCCGTCAAAACAGACTCATATATCTTAAATGAGAATGGTCATTTCGGTCCACATCATATTACTCAATGGGTAATCATAATAACAACTTCTCTTAAAAATGTTCATAAATAATATTAATAATTATAACTTGATGACACATCGATATCAGCCAGATAACCATTGAAAATCAAGGAGTAGTACTGGGCAGTTTTTTCGTCCTAGTTTGGCATTCTTCAGAAGCATGTACCCGTTACTCCATCGAGGATCGAACTCAGGACCTTGAGGTTATGGGGTGAACTCGTTGACCATTCAACCACTGAGATGTAGTCCAATGGCTAACCCATGAATTCTAACTTCTTCCAATTTGCGATGTTTCCTAGTAACTGAATACAAGATGAAGTTGTTTAAGGTCCTAGTGAAAAGTCGTAACCTGTAGGGTTCATCATGTTGCGTGCAAGAACAAATACTCACCGATGAAATTGGCTGACGACTGCGCTAGAAATCATAAAGTGACCTGAGTTAGAATTCCTGGCCCATTGGATTTCCTCCAAATGGTTTACTCGTCAACAGACTAGCCTCGTAACCTACGGTCTAGGTTTCACCGTAGGTCCATGGATGTGTACTGTGGAAAAACTCCGAAGAAGGAAGAAACAGTTGTTCAGTACTTCCTAGTCTTCAATGATTCTCTAAGTCATAGAGTCTTGCAAACTAATACTTGGAAATAATAATAATAGTAATGTGTATAGTCTCCCTTATCTTTTATTATATTTTCTTTACGAATTTCAGAAAATCACATTGAATTCCATCCGAATTTCAGTCCTCATCAGGATTACTATTCATTTGTACATTACAGTGGAAGAATATCATATCTAGACATAATCTTTTCTACTACTTGTAGTACTACAAGTACTACTATTCCTTTTCCAGGAATCGCCGGTAGGTGCCAGTACATTCACAACCTTTGTCACAGACACTGTTCAATAAGTTGAACATCCATTGACACATTGAACAGACGGGTAACAAATTTAAAATCAGGATACCAGAGAAGAAACACTGCTAAAAATTAATGAACTGATTATATATATGAGTCTTCCATGAGAATAGAAGCTTCATTTTCTCTCACCTTTTTTTCTCTTCTGTCCCCTGCTTTTTTTAACTACCTAAGAATATTTTCTATCTCAAGGCAATTTCATCATCAATTGTAATGTAATTAAATTAATTCTATATGAGATCTTGTTCGATCATAGTATCATCAACTCGCGTATTTCCCTATTTCTATCAACACATATCCATTCCCAGTCCCGCGTTTTCATTCTTTTCAGAAACCAACACAGACACATGCAAATGCAGGCAGACACATCAGTTTAGGTCATATACACGTCATTTTCCTACCCCCCCCCTCCAACCGACTCCCTTCTCGCCTCTGCTTCAGCTCCACTCTTTCTTCCTTCATTGTATTCATCAGTTTATGCATAGAAATAGTACTATTATTAAAACTCTAGTATTGAACATTTTTACATATTGCTTTTATTTTGAATAAATAACTGTACACAGGAAAGTATTATTATTATTATTGTACCTTTTGTTTATTTTTATTGCGTTCAAACTGTTTACCATGCGTTTTTTTAAACATTATACCAATTTATGCAAAATTTATTACATATACATACATATTTATATGCAGATATCATAAGTATAAATGCAGTTTCTCCGAGAACCGGTGTGTTTCTCTCTCTAACCGTTCAGTTGCGAAGTTTTGCGTTTTTGTTAGCTTTACAAGCATGTATCAATATGTCAGTTATTATTATTATTATTAGTAGTAGTAGTAGTAGTAGTATTGTCCTGGATTCCGAGTGGAACACACGGCTTCATCAATAGTACATCGCCATTTCATCCTGTTCTCTGAAGTCCTTTTTGGTTGGCTTCACGATTTTCCATAAGCTTACATTTCCTCTTACGTGTCACAGTCGAACTGACGCCCAATTCATTGTTTCCTACGCAGGTCTCACTCGATAGTCTCATCAAAGAGTATTTTCAATCAAATTTCATATCTTTTTAGCATACCTGTTGAGTAATTAATTCTTGTTTCGTGGTTTGTCCTTGTTGTTTGCTAATCGTTGCTAACCATCTGATTTTCAGTATTTGAGGGAAGATAGCTATTGATAAAATTCTGCATTTATCTTACTGTTCGAAATGCTTTACTTGACATGTGCACCAAATCTCTGGATCACATAGAAGTATTAACTTGACATTGGTGTTGAAAATCCAAATTCTGCTTCTTAGGCTGACTGCAGCAGATTTCTACACTGATTTTACAGTAATGAACGTCTGTCTTACATTTTCAATCCTAGTCGGCTTGGACATCCTCGCTGTACCGCCTACAGTTGAAACGGTGCTGCCTAAGTAACAGGAAGAAGTAACTCCCTTCAACTTTTTCCCATTGACAGTGATTAGTGCTTGTTGCCGTTGGTTGGGTATCTTCGTCACCTTTGTTTTCCCAATGTTCAATTAAAGTCATTTCTTCTCTGCCATTTATTCTACCGACCTAGTGGTTTTCGCCTGCAGATCTTTGAGTTTGTGTAATATTAGATATATTTTCAAGAGTTGGCTTGTAAGGATAATTTTTGTTTTTACCATTTTGACCTCGGATTGATATCAGTTAGAGAACCATTGAAGACCGGAGAGTACTGGACAGCTGTTTCGTTCTAGTTTGGGAATCATCGGTAGTATGCACCCACCATCAGGGTTCGAACCCAGCACCTTTCGGTTACAAGGCAGCTCGTATACCACTCAGCCACTGGGCTCATGAGTTCTAACTTCTATCAATTCGTGTATTAGGGCGACCACCAACCAGTGTCTTCGGCGGAAACTCCATCCTTACTCCCGACTGGATGGACCCCAGTGGTCCCGACTTCTCACTAGAACTTCATGAAACTCCGTCCCGTAACAAGTCGCTAGCGAGCATCAGATTAATTTTCAAGAGTAAGATATAAATTGTCCGCAAAGTACGAATCTTCTAGAATCTTCATATTAGTCCCTGTCTCCTCGCCCTCCACGATCTGTCACATAATCGAGTTTACTACAGTCAGGAATATCATCGGTGATATTTTGAAGTTTTCTCTTACTCCTGTTTCTACTTCAAAGGCTTCGCTGGGTTTTCTGTTGTGAATTGCTTGACATGCCGCATTATCATAGCTAATTAATGAAGCTGATAAAGGTTTGAGACAATCTGTAATGTTGAGGCAGTTTCCAAGTTACTTCCTATGCATCACCTAATACGGAACCACAAGTATGACGATAAATCCTTACTAGTGAGTTATAGGGTTCCTTTTAAGTAAAATAACTTCACTCCTCAGGTTAATTTGTATTTCCTGTTAGTTGGTTGGTGTTATATTGGACCGAAATTTTCTATCTCTGTGTTGACATGTCACCTCCGAGCACGGATGACTAGACGATGTCTGATGTTATGTTTTGGTTAATGGTGACTAGTAATGGCGAAATCCAGTAGATGTGCATTCACACTTTGGTGTTTGAAACGATGTATGCAACGTTCACGTGGCAACATAATTGACTGCCCGGTTTCAACGTAGAACTTTGCACAGATTGGCAGCAGTTCGAGTTACCACACCCCAGGCAGTACACAAAGCAAGAGAAAAGGGTAAAGAGAGGCAATAAACAGATTATTTATTATTAATATATCCTTTAATTCCTAGAGGAACATATGGCTTCAGCTGCGCATCTCCATCGCCTTCGGTTTACTGCCAACTTTTTCACTCCGCTCCAAGTCTGCCCACATGCTTTCATCTCCTCTTCACATGACCTCCTCCAAGTCATCCTCACTCTTGGACGACCAACTCGCCGCCTCCCTTTCGGGTTCCACTCGAGCAATGGCTTGTCTAGTGATGTCACTTGATGGTTTCCTCAGAGTATGGCCAATCCATCTCCATTTCTTCCTGCTTATTTGTTTCACAATCGGTTCCTGCTGAGTTGGTTCGCTCATTGTCAGAGATCCCTGTTGCTGATATTTTCTGGCCGACCATCTGATCTTGAGTATTGAGCGAAGACAACTAGCTGTTAATGAAGGTCTGAAGTTTGTTTGAGATGCTCTTTATGACGCGCCAAGTCTCTGATCCGTATAGTAGCACTGACTTCACATTGGAGTTGAAAATCCGGATGTTATTTTTGATGGTGAGTGCTGTTGACCTGCACACAGACTTGACAGTAATGAAAGCTTGTCTTGCTTTTCCGATTCTGGCTTTGATATCCTCGTCAGTTCCGCCCGTCGTTGAAACGATGCTTCCCAGGTCGGTAGGTAAAGGAGGTTGTTTCTTTCTGGTTCCTCCCATTTATGCTGATTGTTGTTGCTGTTGGCCAGGAATCTTCATCACCTCTTAATAAACAGACATGTGAAGCAAAAGGAATCGAAATATGATGAAAGAACAATATAATTTTATCGGGTATTATAAATCATAAGGAATGAACACTGAGATCGATTTCGAGCCAACATGATTTGTAGACAGATAAATAATTGATTCTCCTTTTATGTTTAACTCTCATGCACACATCATTAGCCATGTATGCATATATCATTGTTTCCTCTAGTAGGTATTGTGTAGCTGGTACTGAAATATACTTTCTATCTCTCATCGTCGTGTGTTGTGGCTTAAGTAGAGAGAGCTGGATAAACAGAGAACTGTTGTATAATGTTATTGGCACAGCTAGGGATTGCGGGGTTACCTCTTCCGTATTCAGCTCAACATATTGCAAATATAAAAGTGGTGACGTCACGATAAAACATCATCAAGCATACTGTGGATGCATATACTTTCAATTGACGAGTCAGTCTCAAACATGGCGAAATGCTCATCTACAGGTTTCCAATGCTAGTAACCATAAACTAAAATAAAATTCAAGGACCATTGGATCGGGTCCCAGTGGCTCAATGGTCTACGAGCTCGCCTTGTAACCAGAAAGTCCTGGGTTCGAATCCAGGTGGGTGCGTACTGCTGAGGAGTCCCAAACTAGGACGAAACGGCTGTCCAGTACTCCCAGGTTTTCCAGTGGTTCTCTAACTGATGTCAGCTCATGATTAAATCCTCCATGCAATCAAACAAAATCCCTACAAAAACCAATACTTAAAATAAAATAACTCCATTATACCGCAGAGGTCCCCTATTATTATTATGAATGCTGTCAACTTCAGGAATTTGAATCAGGTCATTTTCTTCACTTATCTGGCAACGTAAACAAAGCCTTCCACTTTGCTTGCAGAATACGTTGCCTGCATTGATCAAACCGGAGATACATTTCACACAACCACGACAAGCTTGACGGCAGATAGCTGGCTAAGTGTTGCCAGGGTTGTTTCGACGGAAAATTGTGTTGTCTTGAGGCTCCCTCATGACCCAATCTCTTACTACATTTACAAAGACCAGGTATGATTCAAGGCAATTCTTTCTTATGAACCGACACTGCAAAAATATACAGATGATACAGTCCTTCTCGGTGAAGACGCACACGATATACAGTCTCCTGGCCACCTTGAAAACCAATCCTCCATCAAGCGCAATGCGATTCGCTCCCGTCAAATATAAAATAATGTTACAGGAATCCACTACATCGACCCCCAACGCAAAGATAAAAAGTGAAGTGGTACGGCCTGTTGACTAATTCACTCATTTGGGAAGTTGTGTCAGCCAACGCCAGTGGGTTGATCACTGACGAAATCTCACCACGGATACACACGACTTGTTTCGTATTTACCAACTTACTCCATCCCTGGCTGAGTCGACGTGATATCCCACTTGCTATCGACCAAACGGCGTGTGTACTCCACATCAGAAGTTCTCCCCCTCCTCCTTCATGGCAGTGAGACATGACCATCGAAAGTGGGAGACATGAAAACGCCGGCCAGAGCTGTCTTTAATCAAAGGTGTCTGCGTTCTACCTGTTGTTTTAAGTGGGATAATAGGGCGAGTAATATTGAAGTGAGGGACCGGTCGAGTGACAGGTAAGGAAGGAAAACCGACCGACGAGGTTGTGAAGTTACATCGATTGACAGAGATCGTTAGGATATGTGTTACGCATGTCTAGCGTAGCCATCGCCTTCCTCGACTGACAGGCGATGTTAGTTGACAAAGGATCAGGTCGGGAAAAAGCTCGAGGTGATCAAACCAAAATATGGTATCAGTCAACGAAATCCACAACATTTATTCTCAGCCAACCACGTAGGGAGGTGTAGACTACTGTCTGGTCGGAGTCCTCGAGATGATAAGAAGCAATGGCTGGAGACAATTGGTGATATGGCTCAAAATCATCCTCAATGGCTGGCGCAGATGCATTCACTCTTTGTGATTGGTCATATCCAATAAAACTCTACGGCTCTTCCATATTACTATTCTTTTCGCCTCATATTTCTGTTTACTGTCTCTATTTCACATTTCTTCGCTTGGTTTGTGTGCTATGTGGAGTGTGGTGACTGGAACTGCTGCGAATAGATGCAAAGTTCTATGTTGAAAACAGTCATAACATTCATACTTATTAGTTCCTTAATTGAGTAGTAGAGAGCTGTCTATCCTGGGTGAAAATAACACCAAAGATCGCAAAATCAACCTTAAATACTTCCGAAAAATGATGAAACTGATTTTTAAATATGGTTTATTCGTCAAGGAATATGGTGGAATTTGATATTTCAACTAAACCGTCTCGGGACTTTCTTTGTTAATGTCGATTAGCTATTCTCTGGATATAAAGTCATTTTACTCCGGAACGTGTAGTTTTTTGCACTCAGCTGCCACCCGGAAAAGGTCTGTCATGTTTAAGCCTATGAAGGTTGATAATCCCGCTGTTTTCCAGGCTGATGTAGGTGGAACGAGACTCGAACCCTGAACCCACTAGCTGACAGTCAAGAGTATTTGCCGATGAGCTACGTTTCCACAAAGACTTTGTAGATTACACCAAAGGCACGATAATTATCGCATAAATATATAATCACACTAAACTTCACGAGCGGTTGGATATATAATTTCTCAAGTCAGTTAGACTGTAGACAACTTGATAAAAGAGGAAAATATTACACACATCAAGGTAATGAGATGTATCCATAAGAAACACGACAAATCAGTGTAACCGTAGAAGACAAGAGACTTGATAACGGGATATGTATTTGGAATTCGATATCTCTCCATCTGAAGATCATCATCTGTACAGATCTTCCGTGTTGTTGCTACTTCTGCCCTTCGTATTGTGTTTCTCTGTCTTCTTTTCGTGTCTCCCATGTTCTACTGCAATGCTGGTTCATTTGCTCCCTTTGACGTCAAATCTATCTCTCCGCTATTTGATACTTTTACACCGATGAACGTCTCATTACATACTACTGATATATTTTGTTAGTAACACACACCACATGATCACCTTTATTCAACTGTACAAATCAATCAAATATGACGCTTATTTAAATAAGCTTTCCTCTCACCATTCTCTGGTTAACAAGTAAAACACAGATTCTAAAATAAACAAGTAATTCTATATTTACAAAAATTATGCTAAATTCTGATTATGCATGAATTGAAAAGTGAGATGAATTACAGGCTTTTTCACGTTTAAAACGAAGAAGAATATTCTCGTCATGGATAAAATTATGCCTGAATGGCTGACATGAGTTGAGTTGAGCTGAGCTGAACTACACCGAGCTAAGATCACTGCCTCATCATGTTGATCGAAATCTTTGAAGAATTTTTAAATTATTTGAATAATACGCATAAGTGAGAAATAGACCGGCTACACCTGTACCCCAGAGAATACAATCACGTACTGGATGCGATAAAGTGGATTCGCCTACAGGAGAAGACTTATCTGAAAAGAAAAACCAAAGTAACAACAGGAAGTTACAGGACAAATATTACAAATGGGAGTGTGTAGGTAAATCAAAATCTATTTCTAATTTCTATTAAGTTAAATAACAAACAACAAATAAGATCCAGGTGTGTGTGTGTGTGTGTTGGCAACTCACTTGTAAAATGGTTGCTAACCATGGACTATGCCCTGGGTTCGACTCCCTGCAGATGGATGCACTCGTAAACCTTGCCTACTTCAAACCAGAGCACAGTAAGCCAGGGAAGAGAGAAGGTTGGATGTGGGGCTGGTAACCTCACTTTACTCTTTACATCTACTTCATTTCTAGACGAAGGTCTTATGCATAGCCGCCGCCTATGTTCATACAATATAATCTTCACCTGCCTACTGCTTCACCGCGTATATACTAAGCCTCACAATTCAAGCATTTTATCCTATAGAGACGGGTTTTTTGTGCCATTTAGGGAGAATATATCTTTTAAAACTAACTAAAGCTTTCTCTAGAGAATTTCAACGGCCTGACAAACAGCGAATACTTATTAAAGTTAAATTGAATTTAGTTATTATTTGACTGCATATTTTTATATTTAATAAAATCCGAGTAGTTCAACTGCTGAAGAAGCTATAGCTGTGTACATAGTGAAAAGTTCACAGAAATATTAATTTGACTCAGTAAACAAGCTAGGATTATTTTACACAACAGAAGGTTAGTACCTTCACATGACGGGGAGGGGTAGGTTTGCATATCACCCAAAGAGCTGTACTGGTTGAAATGAATGTTCCTGAAGGTTCTGTCATATCAGAAAAGTCGTTCGGATAGCGATCAGACTAAAAGCAATTACCATCATAGTTTAAGCTATTAACACTATACATCACGGACCTGCAAACGAAGTCACCCTGTTGGGGAATAGGCATATCACAAGCAGTAAGATGTTTCGCTCAGGTGACTAGCAAACAAGCTACAATAAATATCCGTTCTGATGAGTGCGGGTTGACTGACTGGGTGGTTTCAACACAGAACTTTGCATCTATTCGCAGCAGTTCCAGTCACCACACTCCACATAGCACACAAACCAAGCGAAGAAATGTGAAATAGAGACAGTAAACAGAAATATGAGGCGAAAAGAATAGTAATATGGAAGAGCAGTAGAGTTTTATTGGATATGACCAATCACAAAGAGTGAATGCATCTGCGCCAGCCATTGAGGATGATTTTGAGCCATATCACCAATTGTCTCCAGCCATTGCTTCTTATCATCTCGAGGACTCCGACCAGACAGTAGTCTACACCTCCCTACGTGGCTGGCTGAGAATAAATGTTGTGGATTTCGTTGACTGATACCATATTTTGGTTTGATCACCTCGAGCTTTTTCCCGACCTGATCCTTTGTCAACTAACATCGCCTGTCAGTCGAGGAAGGCGATGGCTACGCTAGACATGCGTAACACATATCCTAACGATCTCTGTCAATCGATGTAACTTCACAACCTCGTCGGTCGGTTTTCCTTCCTTACCTGTCACTCGACCGGTCCCTCACTTCAATATTACTCGCCCTATTATCCCACTTAAAACAACAGGTAGAACGCAGACACCTTTGATTAAAGACAGCTCTGGCCGGCGTTTTCATGTCTCCCACTTTCGATGGTCATGTCTCACTGCCATGAAGGAGGAGGGAGAGAACTTCTGATGTGGAGTACACACGCCGTTTAGTCGATAGCAAGTGGGATATCACGTCGACTCAGCCAGGGATGGAGTAAGTTGGTAAATACGAAACAAGTCGTGTGTATCCGTGGTGAGATTTCGTCAGTGATCAACCCACTGGCGTTGGCTGACACAACTTCCCAAATGAGTGAATTAGTCAACAGGCCGTACCACTTCACTTTTTATCTTTGCGTTGGGGGTCGATGTAGTGGATTCCTGTAACATTATTTTATATTTGACGGGTCCTGCTTGCAGGTAACGGATTCTAAGGAACATACCAGTTAGGCCAAGAAAGTTAAGTCATCTAATGAAATCAAACAGCGAATAGCTACTCCAGTAAATCACAAGTTATACATCATTACATATATATATATACACAAAGACAAACAAACACAACCCACCTTTTTTAAAGTACTTAACTTGTTTTGGAAAATATTTCACCAATATATGCTTAAAATAACGAATTAAATTAGAGCATTGCAATAAGTGTGTAATTAATTGGTGTGTACTTGATTGTACATGTGCAGATGATGACGATAACGATGATACGGATGACGGCACCTTAGTATAATCAATATCCCACCAATTCGAGTCACCATGCTCAGATTCATAGAGAAGTAATGGCCAAATAAATGCAAATACATAAGCATCTACAGCAGTTGGTCTGCAAGTCCGCACACACACATGCGCAGTGAAATAGACAGAAAAGATAATACAAATAAACAAATGATTATAACTGCGACACTTATGTTTAAAAACTGGTTATTCTTAACATACTGAAATATAAAAAGAACTGATGATGTTAAGTGGTTGAAGTCAGTAGGAGGGATGTCATGGAACTAGCCTTCCGTACACTGTAATTGTCATTCACCCATCTCGGTGAACACTCGTTGAACATTTAACTGATAGAATTTTAAGTCAGCACTAACACTATGGACTAGACACATGACGCATTGGTAACTCGGCAGTCACCAGTCAATGTATCCATTACAGTGCTCTATCTTCATTCCTTGCGTCCCGATGGTGTTTTTGTTTTCACAGGGTAAAGGAGCTGCCAGCTTCAGATCTAACCTTCCCTCTTTTCCGGTTTTACTATGGGCTAGTAAACTAGGCGAGGCTAAGCAGTGCATCAATCGGCGGGGAATCGAACCCGAACAACTTTTGACGCGGTCGGTGAGTATTTTACCTCTGAATCACCGACACACTCGACCGGTAAACACAAAACAAAAAACACGCCTTCTACTAGACAACTATATTCGTCACTTGTTTGGCCACAAATTCAAGTGAACCAACTGTGACACTTAAACAATAGTGCTTACAAAAGACAAATGATATTATGCATAACTGTTGAATGCCAATGAGCAAGAAATCCTTTGCGATGAGTAATAGCTTGCTACTTTCAAGATGGATCACGAAATGACATAAGTTACAGAAATACTGAAAGGCAGGGAGGAGTACTGGACAGTTGTTTCGCCCTTGTTTGAGACTCTTAAACAGTACTCACCGGTAGCACCAACCGATGATCTGGCCCATCACCTTCAGATTACAACACGTGCTTGCATACAAGCCATTGGGACGCAATCCGATGGCCCATCAGTTCCAGCTTGTGATAATCTGCGATATACAGCGCGACGGTCAGCAAACCAATCAAATATCTGCAAACCAAGATTTGAAAATTAATCTGTTACTCATCAGTAGGGAACATCTACAGGATGAAGTTGCCTGAAATTCTAACAGAAACCAATGCCCAGCGGGGCTCACGAAGTTGGATGTAAGAATGAATAATTGCTGACGACGTTGAATCGCGGTCGGCCATATATATATATACTGAAAAGTCTCAAACACAACTGAAACAGCTGTCCATTACTTTCTGGGTTACGACAGTTCCTTAAGTGATGTCATTTCATAATCAATCTTGAAATCAATCAAACTCTTGCAAAACAAAAACTTGCTAGTTTCATTGAATGCCGACAGTTAATTCTATGCTATAAGTTTTAGCGTACGCTGCATGCCCTAGCATAACTAATCGTATTTTCCTTTAAAAAAATGAAATCCTACTTATTTATCCATTTTTAAAATAAAAGACGCACAATGACACAAAGATTAACTTACCTATTTCCCACAAAATAAGTATTCTCATTTAAAACATACGAAAGTGATGTAATACAAACTTTGGCCAAAGAATATAACTACAACAGAAAACAAATGGGTAAATAAAATTAATCAGAAATGATATAACTACCTAAGTTCTTATTACTTATAACAACTGCAAATAATTTAATTTACTACGGTGAAAGTGACATACATTGATTTCACGAATAGATACACCTTCAGAGTCATTTAAGGGGATGGTCTAATAACAAGATAATCAAAAATAAGCCCCACTAACACGAATTGATGCGAAACACGCATGTAGACAGCTAACTAGTTTTAAGTAATACGAGAAACACGTCCTGGGTTACAATATAGCAAGTTGTCATTACCTACCCCATACACTTTGACCATGAAGGGAGTTCCGAGAAAGTATATCACACGACTTAAGACACTCTACTCGAACTTAAGCGGTTAGATAAGAGTTTATGGAAAGTTGTCATCTGAAGTGGTAACAACTACTGGGATTTGTCAAGAATGTTCATCGTCTCCATATTTGTTCAATTTCATTATAAATGCGTTAATGGAATCGACTCTGACTGTAGCGACTAGGGAACTAATTTGTTACCAGCTGGCTTATAGTATACGAATCCTATTGTCCACCTATGCGAAGATGCTGGCAAAATGCAAAATTTTTTAAACACTTTCAGAAGAAATCTTCAAATGTTTGGCATACGATTTGCTCCTGTCAAATGTATGATGATGATGAAGTAGGACTGAGCTGAGCTGACTCCTAGCTTAAAGATAAAGAGTGAAATGGTTGACCATTTAACCTAAATCCCACCTCATTGATCATTGTTGCTTGTTTCAAAATAATTTCACCAACTATAGTGGTCAACAGATTATTGCATAAGAATGAATTTTTGACTTCCGTCTTTTAACAGTAGTGCAAGAGTAGTGTTGAGGCAATTAGTTATATTATACATTAACGTTTGTCATTTTGCACTGTAGGTGTATAATGATGATTTTTATTATTTTTTCCAACCAACTATTTAGACGAAATTTGTAATCGAATATTATTATTCAGTTGCTAAAGTACATAGAATTTTACGTGAAAAGTCATCCTTGGAAAGTAGAGATCAATTGCAATAAAAGGTTTACAAGAATACTGGTCTTTACTATACTTTTGTGTAGCACTGAAGATTCACTGAATGAGATATTCAGCCTTCAACCAATGAGTAACAAGTGCAAACCTACACGCGCTTATAAATAAGGTGATGATTAGGAAGGTTTTTGTGCATTTGGAAGTGTGTGGGCGACTGTTACTTTCTGACTGTGCACACCATCGAAGTTAATTGCTTGCTGGAGTACCTGAAACAAAAAGAACATAAGTGTTGAGTGACGGCAAAGTTCAGGCGACAGCTGCTTGAGGCCAGTCACAGACGACCTGTTTGAAGAGATTTCTAGAGATTCATCTGTATTAGGATCTAACTACCGGCTACTGAAGGCCACAAAATAAGTTGGGATATGCAATTCTCGGGGTCAACCATTCCAAGGCCACCTCTCCAGAGCTGAGAAGCAGCACAGCTGGTTTGCTGCCCATCTGAGGGAAACACCTTATAACTGTTATACCCCTATTCCTTGACAGTATGATTTCATCCACGACCCCCCCCCCACAAACCAGTGTAAACAATCTGAACTGTGACAGTAACTCCTTTTACTCTAATCGGTGGGCAAAAACAACCGTTCTGATATAATAGGACCTGCAGGAACATTAGTTGCAGACAATATAGCTTGCTGAGACACTGTGATATGCAAGCGCGACCACCAAATTAAGGTGGTAGTCATCAGTCAGGTATAAATAGGGTAGTAGTAGTAGTAGTAGCAGTGGCAGCAGCAGCTAAGTGGCATCACTAGTCCGTCATACACAGAACCATTGTAGCTCAATAACACAGAGATTCGCAAATGATTGATGAACCGCCAAATACTATATTCCACAGGCTAAAAAAATACTGTAAATTAATATGTTTCAGAGACAAAACAAAAATTGATCTTAAAAAATAAATCAAAGACAACTTACATGCTCTCCAATTTCTAATTCAGACATTTTCTTAAGGCAAATAACTAACTGAGAAGATTTTGCCCTTTTTATTTTCTCATTACGCCATATATGTGGAATATATAGTTGGCGCATGAAGCCAATTGATTCAAAATACATCTTTCTTGTGAACTTTGTATAAACACAATCATCTGCCCATAGAAACCAATTTACAGCAGGTGCTAGACGGCGCTCAATAGCTGAGATAAGAGCGCATAGTTTAACACCTTCCGTATCGGATAATTCATATTCTAAACCATAATTCTGTTAATTGGATTAATGAAAATATTAAAGTGATAGCATTGGATTATATTCAGAATTTCGATCAATACACAATTGGTTAATAAAATTACATCAATATTTTTAACAGGTAGTAATGAGGTATTTTACTGATTGGCTGTTTCCACGCAGAACTCTGCAAAAAAAGTGAAACAGTTCGAGTTACCACACTTCATGTAGCACAGAAAGGTGGATAAGAGGGAGGAAAAATCAAAAGAATTATGACGAGAAGAAATGTACGCGAGGACAGTAAAATGCAGACTAAATGGAGTTGGACGATTACGGAGAGTGAATACATCTGTGCCATTAAGAATGATTTAGAGTCATACTACCAACAATCCCAAGGCATTAGTTCTTAGTATTTTTAGAATTCTAGCAGTATATACCCCAATATATGGCTAGCTCAAACCAATAGTTAAAGACTTCACGAACTTATGCCAAATTTTAATCTGACTACGCCCAACTCCTTTCCCCTACCATGAAGTAGTAATGAGGCAGTTTACTGAATAATTTGGTTATACTTGCCATAATAAACAAATGTAAAGCGCAGTATAGTATTGCCGCAAAAGAATGTGTCACATATACCTACATGGCAACAATATTAGGAGTTTTAGAAATTACATTATGAGCATAGGCATTTCCAAAAACTACATTGAAGTAAGCTGCTATAGATTTTTCATTTTCAATAGCAGGAAAAATACTGCAACCTGAATACATTTTTGAATGTGATTATTACGTCTTGATTTCGGAAGTTGCCATACGGACCCTCACCCACGTAATGTACGTGCCCCTGGTTGAGTTAGTGATCTCATAAGTTGACACAACATATGAATGTAATTAACTATGGCTTGATTTAAACTTACTCTCGCAAACATAACATAACGAAGTAAATGATGAACAGGTATGCACAAGATATGATCCATGCACATGAAATGATCGAGGTTCAGGAATTCCATCGATTGACTTATCTGGAAGTGTATCAGTTACAACTCAGCAACCCGGTGCCGGCTTATAACACTCATTGATTAAGGGCAAATGATATTATCCGGTCGCTTAAGCTAATATAGGTGGAGAGGGATTCGAACCTCGGATCCCCTGGGTTGGATCAAACGACCGAAACACAAACCTACCATTGAATGAAAAAAGGTGATTCAAGAAGTTCTGAATATGAATGACAAATTAATTGATAAACTACTTAAGTACACTGTATTTTGATTTTGGACGACATAAGTTGTAAATCATTTACAGTTAACAATTCGTTCCTATTGATTCAAAATGACTACTGAATACAACTGAGATAGTGTTTATACCTCAGTGATACATCATACACTCAATTTTACTCCCGTATATATATAAAATATGTACTACTACTGCTTCTCAGGCACCGATGACGGGACTAGCGTCAGCGACAAAACAATACATGTTCCTGATGCGTCTCTGTCAATGAGTGACTGCCTTTTAGCACAGAAGAGCATCCACCGTATTTCAGACACCATGCTGCCCCCACGATACCGGATAGGCCTTCCAGTGACAGTAAGACTGGCACTAAGAACAGGCGTACCAGGTGTCGAAAACCTGCAGCCCAAGTCACACAGAGACTGGCAGATCAAGCCTCGTTCACACCAGTGGATAGCAAGCAGATAAAATCGACTACGACTAGAGAGGAGGACGCCAATAAGTGGCGTAACGCAATCTCTCGCAAAAAGCGAGGTAAGGATAACACATCGGTCACACTGCCCACGAAGGCCATAAAGACAATTAAACCGCAGAGCAAGAAAGCCATGGCAAGCAGACCCGATCTCTCTGACAGGTTGCCCATTCTCCACGGAGTGGAAGAGTCACCGGCCTCCAGTCCCAAGATCAGGTTCGAGCATGACCTTAACTTGGTCAAGCCCCTTTTTTGATTATAGCTTGATTCCACACAGTACTTTTGGTAGAAGTATGGAATTTTCAGCATTTGATATCGGTAGCCCAAATTTTTCAGGCTGATCATTAATATCAGGTGTGCGTCGGCAAGGGATAGAACCACGGATCATATGCATGGTCGACTACTGCCGAAAACAGTATCAGGGATAACAATGCACAGCGTATATAGAATCGGACTAAAGCCTGACCATACAGTAAATCAGCCTGCAAACCTTAAAGTCGTACTAAACTCCAAAGAAGAAAGGGATGCCATTGTAGGCAACTCTCAAACTCTTAAAGGATCAGCCACATATGTCCGTGCCAACTTCTGCCTAGCAGACCGTGTCAAAAGACAGCCTGCGGCACTACAATTAAGCGAACGACGCAGAAACGGCGAAAAGAACCTTAAGTTTAAGGGTTTTCAGTCTGTCAAAGTTCGAAGTTTGATGATTCCGAAACCTCTGTGGGTAGGCCACAGAAGCACCAAACTGAATTGACAGTTTGTTACACAAACGCCTGCAACCTGTTGCACAGACAGACTGAGCTGTGTAATATGATAGGCTCCGGAAATCTGGATGTAATTATTATCACAGAGACATGCCTCACACCCGATGTCACTGACAACGAAGTTAAGCTGCCAAACTTCAAAATGCATAGGGTGGACCAAATAAACCGCAAAGGAGGTGGCGTAGTCATTTACCTCAAGAAATGCTTAACTGTGCGTAGCATCGAAGCACTCACCTACGAAAGTGAGCCGTGCGAACTTCTACGCTGCAGACTTAAATGCATAGGCCAAGATATTGACCTCACTGCTGTCTACCACAGTCATGACTGAAGTGCAGATGACTTCCTGATAGAGAAGCTAAGCTCGTGGACATCGAAATATCGAAGTCTCGTAGTTAGCGACTTCAACGCCCCGACAGGAGACTGGACAAGCCTTACAACACCATCTTCAGACAACTCCTTAGATCATAAACTGCTGAAACCTAGTATTTCGCTAGCCCTAGTCCAACATGTCATTAAGCCCACGCACTATGACTCACAGCATTCTTCTTCAACTCTGAGACTAGTGTTCTCTCATGGTGAGAATGTGGATCTCATATAACACCTTCCTCCCTTAGGGAGAAATGATCGTGCTGTGCTCACTTTCAAGTCCACAGCAACAGCATCAAGGGCCAAAACCCCAGCTCCACTAAGCGTTTGGAAAGCTGATATAAGTGCGATTGCCTCAGCAGCCAACTCAGTAAACTGGTACATCAACCTAGAGTCAGAAGTATAAGTGGCGTGGAACCAGGTTAAACAACTTTATGCCCAAGTAACTCAACCTTTCATCCCTTGGTCTGTCCCAAAGGGTCGGAAACATTGCCCCCCTTGGATAAACCGAGAGATTTCTAAGTTACTCAGTTACCTGTTTGACACATTTCAGACTGCTGAGACCAGGAAATTATACAACACCTCTAGGAACAGAGCTACTGCAGAGATCCGCCAATCAAGGATGAATTTCGAAGCACATCTGGCTCAAAATGCAAAGGCACAACATAAAGTTTTCTCGTACATGAACTTAAGCAATAAGGCATCCAATGGTTCCCGAACTTGACTATTTACAGTGACACAATCGACGAAGATCAGGAAAAAGCGGAAGCAATGGCAAGCTACTTCTCCCAAGTCCTGACACAGGAGTCATCACTCCCCAAAGGATTAACTCTGGCTACTTCGGAGGAACACAGGATAAATTCTGTTGACGTCGACCAAGACATCGTGCTCAACTGCCAGCAGGGATGTCAGTGGGCCTTGATAATCTTCGTCCAAGGCTTCTCAAGGAGCTATCAGTCCACATAGCCGGTCCATTGGCCACGATCTTCAAGCTAACTCTCTTAAATGGAGTTTTGCCACGTAACTGAAAAGAGGTCATAATAATCCTCATTCACAGAGGAGGGTCAAGACAAACCCCATCAAACTGCAGGTCTACTAGTCTCACAAGCACCCTGATGAAAAACACTGGAAAGAATCATCAAGAAAAGTATCATGGCATACCTGGAAAACAACAAAATGTTATCCAGAACACAGCATAGCTTTTGAGGAAACCTCTCATTTCTATCAAATCTCCTCACTGCAAGAGAAAGCTGGGTCAAATCAAGGGACAACAGAAGACATGTTGACGTCGTCTTCATAGACTTCAGCAAAGCCTTCGATAAAGTTCCCCACAAAAGACCTCATGAAGTTGGAAAGTTTTGATATCAAGGGCAGCCTGCTAAACTCGATTAGGGAATTCCTCATAGATAGGAGGCAAAGGGTTAAAATCAAATCAAATTTCTCCTCCTGGATGGCAATGAGTAGCGGAGTGCCACAAGGCACACCACCTGGACCTCTCCTATTAATTTCGTACATCAGGGAGTTCTCTTCTCACTGATTCCCCTATGGTCCTACACCCAGATGACTTAGGAATCTGGAGAGAGCTGAAGGGCAACAATGATACACTCACGTTGCAAAAGGACCTCAACAAATTGTCAGAGTGATCCAGAGAATGGATGCTTCCGGTCAATGCAGCAACATGTGCAACCATGCGCATCGGACAAGCATGCATCAGCTCCTACGAACTAGACGGAATAACATTCCCATCAGTTCGGACTCATTTGGATTTAGGTGTCATAGTTAGCCAAGATTTAAAAACTACAGCACACCGTATCGCGTAGTTTCAGATCCTTATTAGCAATTCTCAGAGCCTTTACTAGAATCACCAGAGATATGGTCACCTCCTTATATACATCTTTGGTGAGATCAAGACTAGAAAACTGTATCCAGGCGGCCAATCCTTGTCTTAAAGGGTGCTCACATTCTAGAAAAGGTTCAAAGGAAGGAAACACGTACGGTTTTCGGGATGGCTAACTTATCATACGAGAAAAGACTAGACAGTTTAAATCCCTTCTCCCTGTCATACCGTAGGCAGAGAGGAGATTTAATCACAATGTTTAAAACTTTAAATAATGAGTACGGACACGGACCTGACCTATTCTCTCTTTTCCTTCCCACCAGGTCGGAACACCTTAGAGGACATAGCAGGAGAGTTCAAAAACCAAGAAATATTGCTGTTGAGTACTGGTTCTCACACAGTCATAAACTCTTGGAAACGACTACCAGAAGAAGTGGTATCTGCAACCTCAAGTGAATCATCCAAGAAGGGTCTGGACAACCACAGAACTTTACTAGAAAAGGATTAGCATAGACACCACGCCTTCCATTCTCAACCTATAAATCTGAAATCTACATCTGAATCAGTGTAGATTAACAGAGGCGAATAAGGATATTTAACTGCTTAAATTGTAGTATTTTAAAGCTACTACACTACTGAATAGTAAAATCCCCATGATGTACCATTCTGAAAAACGAAGCGTAAGAGGCAAAGTCGTCTGAATACGATGATGGTACATCCAACACTGTTGTTTATTAAAACTTAAACACTGTGTAGCATTAAAACAGAATATCTCCTTGTAAGCATTCTCTAACAGATGCAGTAAATATATATTTAGTCTTCCAACAGCTACATTCACTTAGTTTTCATACAGCATTGCTTAATTCAACAGGAAGCAATTTTTGTTAATTTGTTAAATTTTGTTTAGAATTATCTAGCTTTTATCAACTACGCATAAAATGATGACATCAGTCTAATCTGCACACCTACATAACTATTTTGAAAACCCACATATCTTAAGTGTTAGAGAAGACCATAAAAAATCAAACTTCTACTCAATGATTAAAAATGCCCATTAAAATTTTTAAAAGAATGGATACTGAAGAAAGAGTATTCTTTTCGATAAATTCATCATCAGGCTCTACATTTATACATACATTATAGTGAATGAATGAGTTAGTGTTATAAACGACATTAATGTTTAAATAACATCAAATCAATAATATTGATAGATCATAGCTGAAACGCATCAACATAGAATAAGATGAATGTCAGAAACATTAGGAAAGATAATAGTACAAATTCATGGGTTTATAGCTTCTACTGAAGGCCAGAGCAATAGTAGGGGCTGAACTTGCTTCTTTTGGACACAGAGTGCTGGTTGTTTGAGGTGAATCGCAATAGCCTCTGCTGTTTGGAGCCTCTGGTGCTTCGATGTTTTTGGTAATTTATTTGACACCCGGTATAATACAGAGAAGGATTCATCTACGCTGGCTTTGTGTCCTGTTTGCACCAGATGTTCCAATATCGAGGTGTTAAAAGTTTTCACTATACCTTTACTTAGTCAGGCAGAGAGATGTTCTCGAGCACGAAAAATCAAGTTCCTAGAGCAACGGCCAATATAACTGGCTCCACAAGCGCAGTTGAATTGATAGATACAACTAGAAGTGACTAGTCTAGGTACTTCATTTTTCAGTCGGGGAATCGACATCGGTCGTGTGGAGAATAAGACGTGTAGTTCGCCAGCAGTAAAAGTTCTCTGAACTGATTTTCTTAATTTCTTCGCAACTATCTCGCTTGGTATATCGCCCATGAATTGTAGTTGTCGTTGTTCAGTATCCAATCTATTCATTAGTCCATTAACACTAAGACTAACCCAGTCGGTGAATTTTATTTGGACCTGGGATATGTGGGTAGAAACGTGGGCAGTTTCCCGTTGTGACATGGGTAAAGTGTACGTTGAAAAAGTTGGTAAACTGGAAAAATTGGGACAATAAAATTTTTCAGGAGATGAAGAAAAGGGGGAAAAGCACCCAATATAGGTTAATTGTGTAGAGTTTTAACCTCGCTTTGCCCAAGTCTTTGCCAATCAAAATTACCCACTTAGTCCACATTATCCAGGTGCATTCTCTGACTGTTAACAGTAAGGTATTCAAAGAAGTTTTGGAAGTTTAAAGTCAAAAGTCATAGAAACAACAAAAAAGTCCGATGAACTTACTTCTTTTCTGAGATAAGTGAGAATAACCGGGATTCCACTGTAATTTTTGCTGTCATGGCAGAGAATCGGATAACCGCTGGCATTACCCTCTACTGGTGACTGCATTTTCAGGTTAATGGGGGCACCTTTCAGTTTTATATAGCACTAGTTTTATGTCTATATTTTGCAATAAACCTACATATATTAGCAAACATTCTGGGTCACAAGGTAAGAGTTCACCCTGACCACACAGTATAGTTAAATCCATCACGAGGAGTACTTCGAACCTGCCTCATATAGTGTCATTCGACCTTCAAACTGAACTTCAATATCCAATATTCCACTACTTTTCGACGGGCTTATATAAACCTTATTATTTTTTGTTTCCTCATCCCTGCCGGTCTGATATGACCATGATGAGAACTACAAAAATATTTCTGGACTAAATGATCTGTTGTCATCTTTTCAATAAAACTGCATCATTTATTGCTTTTCTATTTTGACTAGTTGCGCCAGGTTAGTGGTAATATAAATTGGCGTGACTGCTATAGTTTAATTTTTCCTAGTACGGTAAACGTTTAACTTTTTAAGTTATGATTATACGGAGAAACCCGTTAGGTCATTAAAGCTGGTTCCATGGATAACAAATATTCTCAATATAGTCAATTTCATTTCTAATTTCAGACATATTGGTCAAGCGTAGAAGGATTGAAGTTTGTGTAAGTCCTTTTCTGATAGATGTTTGTGGTCACCTGATCTATTCGTGAATTAATAAACTGGGGGCGCAGATACCACTTCTGGTAATGGGCTTCAAGTGTTTGTGGCTATACCAGTACTCTACAATGGCATAGTTGTCACTTGACTTTTGAACTTTCCTGCTTCATCCTTTGAGGTGTCTAGACCTGAAAGAAGGAAGTTGAAAGATGGATCAGGTTCATGGTTATTTCTTAGGATTTTAAACATGGTAATTTGATCTCCTGTCTGTCTACACAATCACTGAGAGAAGATATTCAAACCGTTAATCCTTCCTTGACAGTCAGTCACATCATAAATTACACACATACTCTTCATTTAACCCCTCATGGGATATATGGGTTCTCCAGAAGGCATGGATATGCTATCAGGATGCAGTCTACTAGTTTTAACCTCCCTAGAAGTATGCGTAAAGTGGTGAGCATTTCCCATGTTTATTGCCCACAGTGACCTAAAACCTCAATTCCACCATGCCATAGTGGGCTGTAGTTTTCAGGTCATAACTAAATATGATACCCAAATCACTGTATCTAAACTTTTATGAGTGTTGTTTTGTCTGTGTCATATGAGCTGACGCGCGCCTGCTCACTATCATGGTTCCGCATTTCGACAAATTGATTGGCAACACCAATTCTTTGGATAGGTCTAGCAGTTTGCTGAATTTTTCCGGCAGCGTGGGCTTGTAAATATCATCATTAAGGTCTTTCTGATTCAATACGTTACTTGCATAGAGAACCGTAGAAGTTTCGGTGAGCTAGTGTAATTTACTGATACGCAACACTGATAATAAGAGGCCAAGTGTAGTGCCATATGAAATTCCACTGCGGAAGAAGAAGACTTCTGATTTTTCCCGACTGTTTGTTTCCTACCCATGATTAGGTAAATAATCAAGATTAACAAACCGCCCTCTGTCAGTCACGTCTCGTAAACCGTCAATACCCAGCTCTTGCTACGCTGGGACTCACGCTGTTCCTTGAAGTTTCTCAGGAACGCTTAGTAATAACGGACGCAAAACCAAAACACCGGTTGGCTACTCGAGAATTCTTTACTGCAACACCAACATACAGGCAACTTTAAAATTAAGTTTTAACTAAGGTCTAGGAACAAATATTACAATAATAAATCACAATATTACTTCTGACAGTTTGGGCCTGTCTTCCTTCTGAACAGCGACCGATGAGACGATGACAGGTGTATCGATGTCTCCGCGAAAATATAGGGAAGTTGGGTTTGAGCAAACAACCATGAATTGATCGTTCAATCTTCAACTATATTGACACTCCCCGGCAAAAAAGGGATCCATCCCTTTTTCCATCACCACTAATACACGTCCGCTTGGATGCCATTGCGAGAACCCGGGTCACAGGGACAGAGATGAAACGGAAATCACACAGAAAAGCCAACACACCACAAGCATACCCACAGCATAATCTCACACATCGATGACGACCTGCGCCTCCAGATAAAGGCATCCTCTTGACATTTAGCAACAAAATCGCCACTTACCAGAATGACTCTTGCAGAATGCAACGTGACCATAGAACCACCTCATAATACTCCACACACGTCCTGGTATCTACTCACTATCAATTACCACTGAAATCGCTTGTCACTCATTCTGCCTCAGTTCTAGTAACGGTGACGTGTGCAAGCCTCAGCCGTCTACACTCCCTCTCCCTGGCGTGTGGCATCACAGCTAATCATTATCTCCGTATGCATGTCATTCTCAGGAATAGCCTCCCCGGCGTATATGAACAATCTGGTGTCCTTAACAACAATCAATTCATTCATGGATGAAGAAGACTCGAAACAACTTCAGATGTAATCACGACGAAAATTTTAAGAAAATTACGCAACAACAAGGTACGAAAACGACGAGTAAACACAATGAATCCAAAAAACACCAATTGATATGAAACACCACATATATATATATATATATATATATATACGCCTGCAACCCTTTTCACGTTGACGACTGTAAGTTTTAGAATGTTCGGACACGATCAAGACTAATCAACAATTACAATAATCTGAACTCACACAACTATTTAACACGAACATATGTACAATCAATACATCAAATGTTGTGGGCTCTGGCATGAAAACTACCCTTGAAGAACTGTAGGACTTACAGCAGTACGCCTACATTCCTTCTCAGGTTGATGATCCAAGTGGAAGTCGTCCAGACACAAACAAAATTGCCAACAGACAGATGAAAAATGATACCAATTCAGTATATACAACATGAACATATGTACAAAATCACACACCAAACACGTTGGGCTGCTCATTGATGCGCTACCCTTTGAAGAATCGTAGGACTTACAGCAGTATGCCTACAACCCTTCTCAGGTTGACGGTCTAGGTTGGAAAATCGTCGCAGAGTTCATTTGCTGACTTCCCTCTATCAGCTATATCCTCAAATCTGAACGGTAACACGCCATGTCATTGTATCGTAGAATATAGATGACGAACAAACACACGACATATCTGATCAACCAAGCGTAGGCACAGAGTAATTTACACCAAAGATAATAACATTCAAATAGTAACTAGAAACTAGAAATGCCTTTATTCATGCAAGTCAATTTAACAATTACTCTCTCGTTTACACTTGGCTTACCCTCACTAAACTGACCATTATATTTGTCCTTTCAAACGAACTGATACTACCATAGTCATTGCAGAAGATACTTGAGTTGATGGGCGACTGTTTCATTGTGGATGACAACACCAACGATGACCGATTGATACCAGTTGATGAAGTTACCGGTGGATCAGAAGCTGTTGTTGCTCGGCTTTCAGAAAGTTCTCACCTGCAAGACCACCACCACTGCTGTCTTTTACTATCAGCTAAGGTTTAACACTAACATCTGATGATAGGTGGGCTACATGCTGATCAATTACACTGACGGTCTCACCGGTATCCTTACTGTCAATGTAGTTGAAGATTGAACGATCAATTCATGGTTGTTTGCTCAAAACCAACTTCCCCAATTTTCGCGGAGCCATCAATACGACAGTCATCGTCTCATCGGTCGCTGTTCAAAAAGAAGGGTAAAACACCGTCAGAAGTAATATTGTGATTTATTATTGTAATATTTGTTCACAGACCTTAGTCATACGTCATTTATATGTCGGTGTAACAATAAAGAATCCTCGAGTCAACAATTGGTGTTTTGCTTTTTCCGTCCGTTATTACTAAGCGTTTCTGAGAAACTTCAAGCGACAGCGTGAGACCCAGCGTAGCAAGAGCTGGGCATTAACGGTTTACGAGACGTTGCTGACAGTTTCTGACGGTAGAAACAGATTCTGGTGGATTCAGACAGTTGGTGACAGTTTGGATAGTCACCGTTCATCTTTCCCGGTGCCAGTCAAGTCCTCTTTGAACAAGCAATATCTGGAACGTTTTTGGAATTGGGTCAAGTTCAACAATGCCTGGGTCAAAGAAGGGACAGAGCGTCTTGGATGCAAACAGGAAAGTAAGTCATGGTGACTTGTCTGTTAATTGTAACGATGTGTCTGATGTTAAGCATGACGTGGTTGATGTTATTATTTCGCCGTCTAGGGATAGTAGGATTATCAAACTCCCTAAGTATGAACCTCGGTGTTTTAATGGAAACCCGGCTGATTATTTACAGTTTGTAAGAGAGTCTGAGATCATGTTAAGTAGTTTTTTATCAAACGATGAAATGAAGTTAATGTATTTGATGAGGTATTGCACTGGAATTGCTTCAAGAGCTATACAGTGCTGTAAGTTTATGAAGCCAAAAGAGGGCTACTACGAGGCTATGAGCATACTACGTCAAAGGTTTGGAAGACCTTCGATGATTGTAAGGAACGTATTCGAAGCTGTTAAGGGTAATGGTGGTCAACTACAAGATGACTCCAAGGCACTTACTGAGTTTTTGGATAATCCGATGACTTATAAGAATACCTTGATTTCGATGAATTTCATGAGTGACCTCAACTCGAGTTTTATCCTAGAAGTAATAGCGAGACGGATACCTACTCGACTGCAAAGGAAGCCGGTGAAGATAAGTTCCCGTATGGAGGATGAGGGTATCGAACCAAAATTTGATGATATCCTGAAACTGGTAAAAGATAGTGTCAATCAATCTATGAGCAAGTTTGTCAGTATATTGAATCTCACCCCTAGAATAGAGCAGTCTGAGGGTAAAATGCAATCATTGATGACGAATAGGCCTCAGAGAGGTGGATATCGAGAAGGCTCTATGATGTCTAGTATTTTATTTTTTATTTTTTTTTTATTTTTGATTACAGCTTGATTCCACACTGTATTTTTGGTACAAGTGTGGAATTTTCAGCGTGGATATCGGTAGCCCAAAATTCGCAGGCCGACCATAGATATCAGGTGCATATAGACCTAGTGAGTGTAACATGCTTCGTGGTACATCCTCAACAGATAAGTTACAAGATGCAAGACAAACACGGTTGTGTTTTACACGTTTGCAAGAGGTGCATACAAAGGTGAACTGTGAACCAGTGAGCAAGTTCAGTGATAAGCTAAATGTAAACTCCAGGCCTGACTCCGAATTGTGT